GGGGCCCAAGGACTTGGGCCATCTTCTACTGCTTTCTCAGGCCATAGCAGAGAGCTGGATTGGAAGAGGAGCAGCCAGGACTAGAATCGGTGTCCATATGGGATACTGGCACTTTGCTACCAAGGCTTCTGGGGTACTAGCAAGCACAAGAAAGGCTGCTGAGAGCAGAATGAAGTCTAAGCTAAAGCTTTTTTTCTTTTTCTTTCTTTCTTTTTTTTTTTTTTTTGACAGGCAGAGTGGACAGTGAGAGAGACAGAGAGAAAGGTCTTCCTTTGCCATTGGTTCGCCCTCCAATGGCCGCCGCACCGCGCTGATCCGATGGCAGGAGCCAGGTACTTCTCCTGGTCTCCCATGGGGTGCAGGGCCCAAGCACCTGGGCCATCCTCCACTGCACTCCCGGGCCACAGCAGAGAGCTGGCCTGGAAGAGGCACAACCGGGACAGAATCCGGTGCCCCGACTGGGACTAGAACCCGGTGTGCCGGAGCCGCAAGGTGGAGGATTAGCCTAGTGAGCCGCGGCGCTGGCCTCATTTTTTTTTTTAAAGATTGATTGATGTGAAAGGCAGAGTTACAGAGAGTGGGGAGGTGGCGGGGTAGGGGAGAAAAAGATCTTCCATCCCCGCTGGATCACTCCCTAAATGGCCACAACAGCCAGGGCTGGGCCAGGCTGAAGCCAGGAGCCTGGAACTCCATCAAGATCTCCCATGTGATAGGGGCCCAAGGACTCAGACCATCTTTTGCTGCTTTCCTAGGCACTTTAGCAGGGAGCTACATCAGATGTGGAGCAGCTGGGACTGGAACCCATGGTCACATGGGATGCCGGTGTTGCAGGCAACGGCTGAACCCAGAGAGTCACAACACCAGTCCCTAAACTAATGCTTTAGTAACTGCTACCTATGTGTGCAACCCCTGAAAAACATTATGCCTTTTAATTTTTCCAATAGCCCAGTGATGCTGTCAATATTGGTTTTGCTCTGTTTTTCAGACAAGTGAACTAAAGCTCAAAAGGCTTGAGTGTTTTGCCCAGGGTCACATAGCTAATAAGTGGAAAGTTTAGGATTCATATGCAGACAGTCTCTGACTCTGAAACTCTCCTGCTCTTTATCCTCTTGTGATGTCACTAACTACAAAGGCCTTCTGCTGGAAATGAAAGTGCTGGCAGGTACTTCAAAAAGTTCATGGAAAATGGAATTCAAAGATAAAGTTATTTTGGTACAAAAAAATTTAAAACCCATACACAGCTTTTAATAATACTTTTTTCTATGAACTTTTTGTTTTGCTTTTTTTTTACAGGCAGAGTGGACAGTGAGAGAGAGACAGAGAGAAAGGTCTTCCTTTGCCGTTGGTTCACCCTCCAATGGCCGCCGCGGCCGGCGTACTGCGCCAATCCGAAGGCAGGAGCTAGGCGCTTATCCTGGTCTCCCATGGGGGGCAGGGCCCAAGCACTTGGGCCATCCTCCACTGCACTCCCTGGCCACAGCAGAGAGCTGGCCTGGAAGAGGGGCAACCGGGACAGAATCTGGCGCCCCGACCGGGACTAGAACCCGGTGTGCCGGCGCCGCTAGGCAGAGGATTAGCCTATTGAGCCACGGCACTGGCCCTCTATGAACTTTTTGAAGACTCCTTCATATGCATGGATTTCAAAAATTTTTGCACCCAAATATACTTGTCTGTTTTTTAATATTTATTTATTTATTCGAAAGGCAGAGTGACAGAGTGGAAGAGACAGAGAAAGAGATCTCTGTCCGTTGGTTTACTCCCTAAATGGCCACAACAGCCAGGGCTGAGCCAGGCTGAATCCAGGAGCCAGGAGCTTCTTCCAGGTCTCCCACATAGGTGGCAGGGGCCCAGGGACTTGAGCCATCTTCCACTGCTTTCCCAGGCACATTGTTAGAGAGCTGGATTGGGAGTGGAGCAGCCAGTACTTGAATCGGCACTCTGATATAGATGTTGGTGTCACAGGTGGTAGCTTAATCTGCTATGTCACAATTCTGGCCCCTAAACCTTTTTAAAATTTATTTTGGGGCTGGCACTGTGGCGTAGAAGGTTAAGCCTCCACCTGCAGTGTCGGTATCCCATATTGGCACTGGTTCAAGTCCCACCTTCTCCATTTCTGATCCAGCTCCCTGGAAATGCACCTGGTAAAGCAGCAGAAGATAGTCCAAGTCCTTGGGCCTCTGCACCCATGTGGGAGACCCAGAAAAAGCTCCTGGCTCCTGGATTTGGCCTGATCCAGCCCCAACCATTGGGGCCATTTGGGGAGTGAGCCAGCAGATGGAAGATCGATCTCTCTCTCTCTCTCCATTTCTCTCTGTATCATTGCCTTTCAAATAAAAAAAAAATCTTTACAGAAACAAAACAAAATTCATTTATTTGAATGGCATAATTAGAGAGAGAAAGAGAGATCTTCCATCTACTGGTTCACTCCCCAAATGGCCACAACTGCCAGGGCTGGATCAGGCCAAACCCAGGAGCCAGGAGCTTTATCTGGGTCTCCTGCATGCGTAGCAGGGGTCCAAGGACTTGGGCCATCTTTCACTGTCTCCCCAGGCACATTATCAGAGAGCTATATTAGAAGTGGGGCCAGCGCTGTGGTGTAGTGGGTTAAAGCCCCGGTTTGCAGAACCAGCATCCCATATGGGTGCTGGTTCGAGTCCTGGCTGCTCCACTTCCAATCCAGCTCTCTGCTATGGCCTGGGAAAGCAGTAGAAGATGGTCCAAGTCCTTGGGCCCCTGCACCCACGTAGGAGACCCGGAAGAAGCTCTTGGCTCCTGGCTTCAGATCGGCACAGCTCCAGCCATTGTGGTCATCTGTGGAGTGAACCAGCAGATGGAAGCTCACTTGCTCGCTCTCTCTCTCTCTCTCTCTCGCCCCCTCCCTCTCTCTGCCTCTGCCTCTACCTCTCTGTGGATCTGCCTTTCAACTAAATAAATAAAAATATTTTTTTTTTAATAATACGGAGCAGCTGGGGCTCTAACCATTGCTCATATGGGATGCCAATTTCACAGATGATGGCTTAACCCACAGCACCACAGCACTGGCTCCTAAACTTACTTTTTAATTCAGTTTTCCACAAACATTCTAAAGTCCCCTCATACACCTAGGGCCATTTTGAAACCCTTATTGGCCTAGCTTAGGTGCGCAGCAGCAGGGCAACAGAGATAGGGCTGCCCTAGTCCTGACTCTCAGGCTCAGTTTACAGGCTGAGGACCTGCGGTCTGATACCTCACCTCTTTCCTTGCAGGGAAATTCACTTGCATCGAGGTGAAGTTTCACCTGGAACGGCAGATGGGCTACTATCTGATTCAGATGTATATCCCCAGCCTACTCATCGTCATCCTGTCCTGGGTCTCCTTCTGGATCAACATGGATGCTGCCCCTGCCCGTGTGGGGCTCGGCATCACCACCGTGCTCACCATGACCACCCAGAGCTCTGGCTCCCGGGCCTCTTTGCCTAAGGTGAAGAGACATGCAAGGAAACTTGCTTGACATCAGGCTCTCCTCATTCCCCATTCATCCCATGCGCTCTTCTGCTCACTCTTTATCTTGGATTTAAGGTTGAGCAGAGTCATTGAGCAGGTGTTCCACATTCTCTCCTCCCCAAAAACATATTGCCAATAACATTGCTAACAACACAAAGGCTGGGGTTAGGGATGATGTCTGACTAGGGAATGAGTAGAACATGCCTAATTCCTTCCCTAAATACTAGCATGTCCACAATCTTGCAATAGGTCAAGAGAATACAGCCCAGAGAGGCAAAGTGACCTTCTCAAGGTCATCACTCAGAAGAAACAACCAAGAAATACCAGGATTTTAAGCCAATTTCTGTCCTCTATGTCAGAAATCAGATACTATTAAAAGGAGCTCTAGAGACAGTGTCTGCTCTTTTGATATGAGAAAGTTTTGAGGTAGCAAATGACGAAAGTCAGTAGAGGCTGATCATCTGGGACCTGGTGATGTTTTGATTATGCAGAAAGATTTGTGCTGATGGGACTGGGCACGGTTCTCCCTGCCTCATAGCTTCAACTAGGGAATTCACAGGTCACTTCAAGGTCCTTATAGTCAGCAAAGCTCTAAGCAAACCATAGTGCAAGGTCATTAATTCATTCAATAAATACTTACTGAGCAGGTACTATGTACCAGGCACTGTATTTAGTGCTAGAGAAATGGGGGATGTGAAAGCAACAAAGTTCCTTGTGGATCTTATGGTGAACATACTCCCTCTTTCTCTGAGTTGTTGGAACCAAGCCTTGTGATCTCCCATCTCTCAGTGCTTGTCCCTACTACGATTTTTTACTAGGTATGTAAACAAGAGGTCATCTGGGGCATCTGTGGTGAGTTTATAAATTTGACGCATGGAGAAAGTAGTGGTTTAGAGTGGGAGATTAGAGTCAAACATTTTGGATTTAAGTCTCAGCCTTGCCATGTATTACTAGTGTGACCCTAGGTAAATTCCTCAATTTCTCAATTTCTTCATCCATAAAACAGGATAAGAATATTACCTCTTCCAGAAGGTTATTGTGAAAAATAAATAATGTATCACTACACAGGACAGTGTTTGGCACATAGTCACTCAGTAAATGTTAGCTACTCTTATCATTATTAGGTGTTAGGGTTGAAAAATGTGAGGGATGGATCTGGGACCAAAATGGCTAGGGTCCCCAATTACTTTTTAACTTTTTTTTTTTTGAACAGGCAGAGTTAGACAGTGAGAGAGAGAGAGACAGAGAGAAAGGTCTTCCTTCCGTTGGTTCACCCCCAAAATGGCCACCACGGCTGGCACGCAGCACCGATCCAAAGCGAGGAGCCAGGTGCTTCCTCCTAGTCTTCCATGTGGGTGCGGGGCCCAAGCACTTGGGCCATCCTCCACTGCATTCCTGGGCCACAGCAGAGAGCTGGACTGAAGAGGAGCAATTGGGACAGAATCCAGCGCCCCGACTGGGACTAGAAGCCGGGGTGTCAGTGCCACAGGCGGAGGATTAGCCTAGTGAGCCGTGGCGCTGGCCTTAATTTATTTTTTTAGAGGCAGAGAGAGACAGACAGATATAAAGAGACAGAGACCCAGCAAAAGAGAGGGCACTCCCACCTGCTTATTCTCTCCTCAAATGTCCACAACTGGGCTGGGCCAAAGCTGGAAGCTGGGACCTCAATCCAGGTCTCCCACAAGGGTGGCAAGAACCCAACCACTTAAGCCACCATGGCTGCCTCCCAAAGTGTGCATTAACAGAAGGCTGGAATCAGGAGCTAGGGCCAGGAATGAAATCCTGTACTGTGATGTGGGACACAGACGTCCTAACTGGGCCAGATAGCCATCCCTCCCAATTATGCTGGAGTTGCTGGGAAACCTTTGATCAAGCTCAGAGCTCTGCAGGATAAAAAGTGACAAAACTCAGATCAAAATCAAGTGTCTGAGGAGAAATAGTCAAGAGCCACTTCCCAAAAATACATTTCCTGGATGGACAGAGATATTGACAAGGTTCTGAGAGGCAGGCTGGACTTGGGCAAAGGTTATAGGGCCAGGCTGGGCTGTGATGGCTGTGTGTGGTAGTGACCGGGTATGGAGATAAGAGGCAGAAAAGTAGTTCAGACCTAAGAACCCTGCTCCAGTTTATTGCCTCTGCCATGCAAGGAGATTCTTCCCTAACTTATAAAGTTTCTGCAATTTAGTTCTTACTTTTGCCAAAAGAACTTCCTTTTCTGGTCCCCTCCTGTGAGTGAACAACAGTCCATCTGCTCTTAGGAACCACTTATCTTCCTCATTTGGAGAAAATGGACTTTGTTAGAGGGCTGTTTGTTCACAGCATTTAGTGCTTTCTCCTCCGAATTTGATGACTTTTTTATGGCCCCATTGGCCAGTAAGCAAAATCCTGAGGCATGCACCCTGAAACTAAATAGCCTCATTAGCCAACCCCACAGAGCAAGGATCTTGGTAAGCCAGGAAACTTGCGTACACTATTGAGTTTGTGCAACATTAGGTTTGGTGAGAACCCCAAGGAAAGACATGGCGCCAGGCCAGGGACTTCTGAACACCACACCCATGTCACCACCAGCCCCCCTCCAGTAGACTTCAGTGTCCAGGATGAGTAAGTGAACTCAGCTGGAGTGGCCATTCCCCCAGGGTCCCGTTGCGGTACCCTGAAGGCTCTGATTATCATTTCTTTTCCAGACCTTTGAGCTCTACAATTGCAAGTGATTCAGAGCAGCATGGAAGGGTGAAACAGAAGCTTCCATCTAAGACTGGCAGATTAGACCTAAAGTTGCAACAGGGGAGGACTCAATTCTCTCTAGGTCTGTAATCTAAATTCCCCACAGGTCTTGGGCCAGTTAGTGGTGAGGAGGGCAAAGACAGCAAGCAGGAGCTAGCAGAGACAAATGCATCGCTCAACCATCGATATGTTCATTTAAAAACTTACTCCATGCCAGGCACTCAGCTATACACTGAGGACAGAATAGTGAATGAAATAGAAACAGTCCTTTCTGCCAAGGAGTCCACAGTCTAGAGAAGTGAATGGCCAGGTATGCAGTGGGTGTTATAAGGTATAGGTAACCTGGACACATATAGCAGGACAAGAAACAGACTGGGATGATCGGAGCAAGCTTCCCAGAAGATGTGGTATCTAAAATGCAGGCTGGAGGATAAAGAAAACTCGTCCAAGTAAAGACAAGCAGATAGTGACTCCTTAAGTAACTTCTGAAATAGTTCACCATGACAGTGTCATCGACCGCAAGGGGTACAATGAGGCTGAAGAGGTAGGCAGAGGTTAGATGTTATGGTGAGGGAAAACGAGTGTCATAAGGGTTGAGGAAGACCACTGAAGGATTATAAGCAGGGGAGTGATACAATCAGATGCATATTTTGAAAGAAAACTCTGGCTGCTGTTTGGAGAATAGATTGCAACTGGCAAGAGTAGATGTGCCCAAGCAGTTCCGCCATCTTCCACTGTTTTTCCCAGGCCATAAGCATGGAGGTGGATTGGAAGCAGAGCAGCCAGGACTTGAACCAGTGCCCATATGGGATGCCAGCATCACAGGTGGTAGCTTTACCCACTATGCCACAATGTCATCCCTAATTTCTGAGATTTTTAAAGATGTATTATTGACACATTCATCATTAGCAAGACTTTCCTAGTGTTTAAGCTGTCCTTTCCTTTGATAATCCAAAGCCCTTGTGGTCCTCCCTTGTGGTTAACTTATTATCAATATTCATAGAAGATATATTCCTAGGGGCACAGTGGAACTGGGAAATGGGGAATGAAACAGAATTCCCTTTTATTAGGTGGAAAAATGGAGACACTTGACTAAAGTATATCTAATCAGTAACCCAGTAACACCACCTTGGTGGAATTTAAAGAATTAGAGCAGAATGTCTCAACCTTATTACTATTATCTTGGGGTCAGATAATTCTTTGTTGTGTGCCCTACAGGATGCTTAGCAGCATCTTTTGCATCTACCTATTTGATGCAAGTAGCCACCGTTGCTCCAAAACGGTGTGATCAAAACATTGCCAAGTGCCCCTGGGAGAGGGGTAAAGTTTTCCCAGTCAAGAACCACTGAGGTACAGGATGTATCCATTGAATCCATCTCCTGACCTGGCGTCTGCAGCACCCTCACTGCCCACCATGGCAGAAGCTGGTGAAAGAAGTTGCCTGTCATGAACCCTATCTCTGCTGGGGAGCTCTCTGGGGCCCAGAGCTCAAAACTATGTAGGGAGTCAATTAATTTGGTTGAAGAGGTGAAAACAGCTCGAATATGAGCTATGTCCTCCTCCCTCCTGGCCCTACCGAGCTGCCACCTTGTTCCAGGAGAAGGCGATGTTCAACCTCCACAAGAAGGGAGAGAAAGGTACTTAGAGGCAGGTAATGAAAGGAGAGCACTAGGCACTGACCAGGTGGATGCCAATAGTGCCTTGCAATTAGCAAAGTATCATGACTGCAGCTATGTAGCGCTCTTCAGCATCTCCGCCCTATTCTCCTCTCCAGGGTGAGATAAGGTCCCAATGGATGACTGTACTCAATTCCTCAGCAGGGCCTCTCACAAAGAGCAGCAGGAAAAAACATACAAGGTAAAGGGAAGAACAGAGGTGGAGTCCCTAGTCTGCCAGCGAGACAGCAGCCTAGTTAACTTGTAAGGTCATTGAGTTGAAATCCCAGAACTGCCAAGTACTAACACCATCTTCTCACTGGGTGATCTTGGGTAAGACCTTTATTCTCTGAGCCTTAAGCATCTCAACATGTCTTATATGGGAATCATGATGCCTGCCAGATTATCTACCCAATTAGGTTGTGAGGACCCAAGGAGATAACAGAGGGCAAATGAACACAGTGTTCATGTTCGTTGCTGTTTATTGAAGGAAAGGAATCAGAAAAGACAAGCATGAAAAGAATAGTAAGAGGAAGAAGCAGAAATGCAAGAAGAATAAAGGAAAGAAAAGAAATGTAGAGAGGAAAGGCAGGTGGAAATAGAGGGTGGAGAGTGCAGAGAGTGAAGGATCATGCATAGCCTGACTTCTTTGACATGGTTCCTTCAGACAACAGGACATACTGTGGTAAGCATCTTTAACAACTAGAAGAAATTCAGGACCACGCTGGAGAGCAGCAGGCAATCAATGTGGGCTAGAAATCCACTGGATGGGCCATGGAAGGAATCCAAGAAGGCTGACTACTCTGTCGATGGATGTTGTAGGTGTCCTATGTGAAGGCCATCGACATCTGGATGGCCGTGTGCCTGCTCTTCGTGTTTGCTGCCCTGCTGGAGTATGCTGCTGTCAATTTTGTCTCTCGTCAGCATAAGGAATTCATGAGACTTCGAAGAAGGCAGAGGCGCCAACGCATGGTGAGTACAACTAGGGTCAGGCCCAGTTTCTTTCTCCTTTGGACTCCTTCCTCCCTACTCCTCCTCCCATAAGCCAGGACCCAACCCAGGGCTGCAAGGACTAGACAGGCAATCAGGAACCCTAAATTCTTGTCCCAGGCTGGTCACAGTTGAGCTAAGTGCTTTAACCTTTTTGAATCTTGTTCCTTCTCTGTCCTTTGGGACATTAATCACTGTAAGGCAGAAGATTGCTTAAGAGCATGGACACAGTGACTGGCATAAAGTAAGCACTGAAAATGTATTAGCAGGTATTAGAACCTTATCAAATTAGTTAATATGAGAATCCTTTAAGCAGTTATAATGGTTGCTCCTGGCTCTCTCCCTACCCTGGAGGAAGGTGCTCTAGGTTGTCAGACACTAATTAGTAATTAAGAATTCAACAGTCAGGCAATGGTACTTTTCTAGGGAGGCATCATGGTTGTGGGGAGGGGGTCCCAGTAACTAAGCTGGAATTGAAAAACAGCTGCTTGCCTCTTCTGGCTGTTGGATTGTTGGGTTTCTTCTCCTTTATCTTCATCGGGTGCATCAGAGTTGTTGGGCATGAGCTTTTGGTCTCCCTCACCCTTGTTTGTTAACCCCATTTCTTCTACAGTAGAGTGATCACCTGGGGAAATATAAGAGGAATCTTGTCGTCATGACAACAGAGGCAGTTTACCCTCAATTGCCCAGACAATAGGTGCTAGGTAAGTTGTCATGACAACAGAGGTGCCTGGGCTGCCCCTACAGTAGCAAGTATCCAATTATGTGCGAAGCTGAAAGACTTTGCCGTGCTGCATACTGGTTGCTTAATCATCAGAGTCTTGAGCTCTGGCTCCATGTTTTCTGCCCAATCCAGAGGCTCTAAAACCAGAGGAGCAAGTGAATTAAACAGCCTCTGGAGGATAGGAAGCAATGATCTGAACCCCCTATTACTACCCTGGCCCTAGCCTGCCTGGGCCACAGTAACACAAGGACTCTTCATTCTGCCCAACATCCCACTTCCCACCTCTGCTGCTCCAGGGGCACCTCTACCATATGCCCACACTAAAAATATCTCACAAACTATCTCCATGGTTTCATGTTCCTGGCTAAGGCCCGTTTCTGCTGAAGGCAGGGCTTCTGGCTCATCTAGGGGGTTCTCTAAAGTTATCAAATCTTGCCTCACTTTACTCCTTTAGCTAGGCACTAGACAACACACCCTCTAGTGGATTGATCTACAACTGCATCTCCTTGAGAAGGACTCATTCTTCAAAGGACCTTAAAGCTTTTCCTATCTCATTCTCAGATTTAGAGAAATATAGACTTGGCAGAAGGGGAAAAAAATAAAAAAGGATGCTCCCTTTTTCTAAGCTAACTGTCCCCTACCTCTTCTTTAGTTGTGTCAAAACTGCCTGTAGGTACCAAAATTCTTTTTTAAAAGATTTATTTATTTATTTGAAATGCAGAGATACAGAGAGATAAGGAGAGAGATCTTCCATCTGCTCCACTGGTTCACTCCCCAAATGGCCCGCGACAGCTGAGGCTAGGCCAGGCAGAAGCCAGGAGCCACGAGTTTCATCTGGGTCTCCCACACGGGTTCAGGGGCCCAAACACTTGGGCCATCTTCAGCTGCTTTCCTAGGCGCATTAGCAGAGAGCTGGATGGGAAGTGGGACAGCCAGGACTCCAAACAGCAACAGTATGGGATGCCGGCACTGCAGGCTGAGGCTTAGTCTTCTATGCCATAGTGCAGGCTCCCAAAAATTCTGCCCTTATAAGACTTTTGATCATGATGACTTCTCAATGCCTGCTTTGAAAAAGAAGAACAGGGTGCCAGCGCTGCACCTATGTGGGAGACCCAGTAGAAGCTCTTGGCTCCTGGCTTTGGATCAGCCCAGCTCCATCTGTTGTAGCCATCTGGGGAGTGAACCAACAGATGGAAGATCTGTGTCTGTCTCTTTGTAACTCTGCCTTTCAAATAAATAAATTTTAAAAGAAGAAAGAAGGAAGGAAGGAAAAAGGACGAATCCTTCCTTACACCCACCCAACCTCCAACTGTCCATAGCCTATCCTCTCCTGCTCATATATAAGTTGATCCTGAGCTCATAGTGGGATGTGTCATAACTAGTGCTTGATTATTGCTTCAGACCCTAAGGACTGGCTAAAAGTGGGCTGAGGTTTATTATTGATGTGAGTAAAACCTGAAATTCACACCTGTTCCAGTAATTATGTCCCTTTTCAAGTCTCCTAAAGCCATTGCCATCCCAATGGAACAGTAGCCAGAATCTTGGAGGCACCAAGCAGGCTGAAAATAGTTGATGGAAAGTAATACATTTCTAAACCTCTCTCTTGGTCAATAAAATTCTAGAAACCTCTCTAGTGTTCCAGCTGGAGAAGCAGAAGTTTTCAGCCTGAGAGAAGCACTGTCAGGGAAGGAGGGACAATCTATATGGTTTTAGAGGGCAGGTTAGGCGTCTTCCAGGAGCCAGCCAGCTCTCCACGGAGCTCTAAGCTTAATCTCTCTTCTCTCCTCAACCACTCTTCTTTCCACTCCACTGTCAAAAGTGGTTGAATGTTTTCCATAACAGTTCTGCTTTGCATTTCCAGCTAATCTACAGGCATCACAGGCAAGGGCAAAGGTCCCCCCCCACCCCCCCCACCCCTGTCATCTCAGCAGGCACTAGCCCCAGGACATGGACACAGTAGCCATGTAACCCAGCCCACCAACTTTTGCAGGCTGATTGGTAAAGGCTCGCATTTCTCTCTCTCTCTCTGAAGTTGCACAGAGAAAGTCTTGCCTTTATGAACAGAATAACCTGAGAACTGGAATAAATGTCAAAATACTGCCAGGTGCTCTCAGGGGCTTGGTCTCAGAACTCTGCTCGTGTCTTCTCCTTCTTCTTGCACCCTCCCCTATTCTCCAATCTCCTGTCTTCTAGCCTCTCTCACTTCAATACATGTGACTTTGCCCCATCTCTAGGCCTCACTTCCTACCCTATGCCTTCCCTCCCCAGCTTAGTTTTGGACTACTTTCTCTGTCTACCTTTTCACTGCCTCCCCCATCCCAGATAGCTGGAAAATGAGTTCTATTTAAACAGCCTCAGAAATCACAATGTGGTATTTAAGGCTCCATTGTCCCTCCCCAAGACAAACAGGTGCCTATGCAGACATGCACACACACACCCCTCAGAATTTGGTTTAAATAGATAATAACCAAATCCAGGACACCCTCTCACCTCTGGATTTCACGCTACTTGTCTTTGTTCCCCCAACTACAAGAGCTAAAATATATTAAAATCAAAAATAACTAAGAGCGGCTCACTCTGCTGGCCATATTTTCCCTCCTGTGCGAAATGGCTTTTTCCAGCTGGGGAAAGATTTCCAAATAATTCCCTTTAGATTTACTAGAGCCTGCTGATTGGAGAAAAGGGGAAATAATTGGATCTATAGAAACAGAAATAGCAGTTGGATCCAACTTTTTCCTTCAGAGTTTTTTTTTTTTTTTCAAACATCTACATTCCATGCTTTTATTCTCTAAGGGGGGGGGGCAGAGGACATCAGAGCAAGCAGTGGGGAACAGTGTGATCTGAAAGACCTTGAAGTGGAAAGCAAGAAAGTCATTTTCTAGCCCACTTCATTTCTAAATTCCCTGGGAGACTTTTTTTTTTTTTTTTGACAGGTAGAGTTAGACAGAAACAGAGAGAGAGAGAAAGGTCTTCCTTTACCGTTGGTTCACCCTCCAATGGCCACTGCGGCCGGTGCACCGCGCTGATCCAAAGCCAGGAGCCAGGTGCTTCCTCCTGGTCTCCCATGTGGGTGCAGGGGCCCAAGCACTTGGGCTATCCTCCTGGGAGACTTTTTTTTTTTTTGGCCTCTGTTTCTGCATCTCATAAATGGGCCTGGCAAAGCCTGCGCTGTAGAGGAACAGTGTGCAAGTGAATTAGGATCACGTGAGGTAAGCCAGGGCCTTTGGTGAAAGAGGCTATGGAAATAAGCAACTTTGGGCAGAGAGCTCGGATCACCGCCACTACAACTCCGGTGTAGTGCAACTACAATAGTGAATTGTCTTCGGCCTGCGTGGGTACCATGTCTCCACAAAACCTCTGGAAAAATCAAGGATTGACAGCAAAGCCGTCAGGTGGTCAGACTTAGAGAGTCTTTCCTGTGCCTAAAGTGCAATTCCCTTTCTGGAAGCTGAAGGCCATGGAACCAGTGTGCAGGGCGGGGCCAGAAGTTACCCATTTTCCTGCCAAGCACTTTATCACTGAGTAAGATTCTCTTCTGAGCAGGGTTTGCAGTCCGAGACTCTGAGAGGATGCTGGCTTCTCAAAAACTAAAATCATTCATTTATTCATTGATTCAGCAGCTACCTACCGTGAGCCGATTAGGTTCCAGGCACTGGACACATCTCAGTGAGCACGACCACTGCCATTTCCCAAGCTTACACTTTGAGCCCACAGGTAGCAGAGAAATGGATGGGATCTGCCAGTCAATCTCTGACCTGAGCGTTTTTGCCCTGGATGCCCGGTAACAGGCCTGCCTGCAAGATGCTAGGTCAGCTTCTCATGATGTAGTAATAAAGGGTTACTGTACCTTCCTCACCCAATATCTTGCCTACAAAGATGCTTTCTGACATGTTGCCAAATCTGTGGAGGTCCCTCTAACTACTCAGGGGTGTACAAATCTACTTTTTCTACATGCTATATTCCATAGCCATACAATATACATGTACCTTGGTCTTATAATGAATAGTAAAGGCCTCAGAGAGCTATAGGGTAACTAACTCTTGCTGGTTAGACTTCCCCCACTTTGAACACTGAAAGATCTGAGTTTCAGTACCCCCTGAAACCTGGGCAAGTGTCAGGTTGGTAGTTCAGTATTAACCTACAAATGGGCATTTCACTATAGGTGAAATCACTTTAGGTGTTTCCTTAGATAACCGAAGATTTCATTCCAAGGCCACCTATATTGAAAAAAAAATTCTAACCACCCTTGAAGGAAATATTTCTCAACTCTTGCCTTTAGAAGTAGGTAAAATAAGACTTATTTGTATTTTATAAAAAGAATAAATGGGCTCTGAGTGGGGGCCTTGGAGCCTCTTAGTTAATGTTCTATTTTTTTGGCTCACTCTCTGGCTCTCTCTCTCTCTCTCTCTCTCCCCTCTGTCTCTATCTTTATTATCTCTATCTTTCTGTCCCTACGTCTTTGTTCCCAGCTATCTACCAGCTAGTTAAAGTTGTCAACCAACTACTGGATAAATGGACCGTTTGCGCAGTACTTATATAAAATATACCTCTTTGGTGTTAGTGTTTATTATAATGTACATATTGTACATGAATGAAAGGTGCATTTCTCTGGATATGCTGACCCTTGTGTCAAATCTGCTGGTTTGCTGAGAAGCACATATGTTTGCAATGGAGGGATCATCTTATTCTAATTTGGATCACACACTAGGTTATTTTAAACTTTGAGGATTTTCAGCTTTGAGTCAAGATAACTGAAAAGATACTATATTCAAAGAAAACTCATTCTATCTAAAGCTTTTGAAAGTCATTAAAATCCAAATTAATCAAATCTAAATATCTTAGCTTCACTGTGTTATGGTTTCCTTGTTCTGTTTATTACCAGTCAGAGATAATTTGACATTCAGATGTCCCTCTCACAGTGGATAGCACTTCACTGGGTTTTGGAGAGCTCTAAATTATCGTACACATTTCAAAAAGGCAGCTCATGGAATAGGCATTATGGTTCAGTGGAGTAAGCCAACGCTTGAAACACCTGGATTCCGTATAGGAGTGCCCCGTTGAGGCCCTGCGTCTCTGAGCTTCCAATCAAGCTTCTGGCCAATGTGCTTGTGAAGCAGCTGATGGTGACCCAAGCACTTGGGCCTCTGCTATGCATGTGGCAGACCAGGACCAGTTCCCGGCTCCTGGCTTCAGCCTGGCCCAGACATGGGCATTGCTGCTGCCATTTGCGATATGAACCAACAGATGAAAGATTCTCTCTCTCTCTCTCTCTCCCTCCCTCCCTCCCTCCCTCCCTCCCTCTCTGTCCCCTTTCTCTGTCACTCTGCACTTCAAATACATAAATAAATTTCATCAAAATAAACAAATAATAAATCATTTAAAAAATAAAACAAAACCAAAAAGGCAGCTCAGTGGGCTGGCGTTGTGACACAGCAGGTTAGCTGCCACTTGGGATGTCCATATTCCATATCAGAATGCTGGTCTTAGTCCCAGCCGCTCCACTTCCGATCCAGCTTTCTGCTATGTGCCTGGTAAGGCAAAGAAGGATAACCTAAATCCTTGGGTTCCTGCCACCCACTCAGGGGACCTGGATGGAGTTCCTGACTTCTGACTTTGGCCTGGCTCAGCTCTGACTGCTGGAGGCATTTGAGAAGAGAACCAGTGAATGGAAGTGCCCTATTACTCTCACTCTCACTCTCTCATCCTCCCCCTTTCAAATAATCTTTTTTAAAAAATTCAGCTCAGGGGGCCAGCACTGTGGCGCAGCAGGTTAACACCTTGGCCTGAAGCACCAGCATCCCATATGGGCACCAGTTCAAGTTGTGCCTGCTCCACTTCCCATTCAGCTCTCTGCTATGGCCTGGGAGAGCAGTGGAAGATGGTCCAAGTCCTTGGGCCCCTGCACCCATATGGGAGACCGGGAGGAAGCGCCTGGCTCCTAGCTTTGGATTGGCACAGCTCCATTGCGGCCAATTGGGGAGTGAACCATCGGATGGAAGACCTTTCTCTCTCTGCCTCTCCTCTCTCTGCGTAACTCTGACTTTCAAGTAAATAATAAAAAAGAAAAACTGCAGCACAGGGTCTATCTGCAAATGGAATCATAACATATACTATACACACCACAAATAACTGCTTGGTATCTATCTATCTCATGAGTAATTTTGTGAACATAACTAAGAGCACAGGAGGTCTGTGTACCAAGCCAACTTGCCCGCACAGCTCCACCTATGAGATGTTTTGTTTGGTCTGTTCTTTGTCTCACTTCCTTAGAACTTTGACCTCAAATTCTGCCTTGTCTTCTTTGTTATTCCAGGAGGAAGATATCATCCGAGAAAGTCGCTTCTATTTCCGTGGCTATGGCCTGGGCCACTGCCTGCAGGCAAGGGATGGAGGTCCGATGGAAGGTTCTGGCATGTATAGCCCCCAACCTCCAGCCCCTCTTCTTAGGGGGAGAGAAACCATGCGGAAACTCTATGTGGACCGAGCCAAAAGAATTGACACCATATCCCGGGCTGTCTTCCCTTTCACTTTCCTCATCTTCAATGTCTTCTACTGGGTTGTATATAAAGTGCTACGGTCCGAAGATATCCACCAGGCACTGTGAATAGGGTGGGGGCTATCACATCCAGCTGCTGGCTTCCTGCTTCCTCCTGGGTGGGCTTTCCTCTTCCCCTAGACTCCCTCAGGGGCTTGGACAGTTCCTTCCCAATCTCCCACTCAAAATGTAAACTACCAGTCCCAGAGCTATGTGGGCCTATACTGCATGGTGCCATGATGGCTGTCCTTAAAGATGGCTCATTTACCCTAATCCGGATTTTCTCCGTACTTTGCCATAGCTCATGAGACTAAGCTTTGACCATGTCCCTGGGACCAGGATAACTTTTGATGCCTGTTTTCCAATACTCCAGAGAATAGTCAGACCAACTGCTACTAGATTCTGACATTTGTCATTCTTAATCTGCACTGCTTCTCACCCTGCCACCTCTGACTCAGGGTCTGCATTTTGCCCTGTCTTCGGTCCCTCCTACAGCAGGATCAAATAGGGCATCTTTCCCATCCACAAGGGCAGCCCAGTGTGACCCTGTCAGGCTTCTTTGGGGTGACAGGAGGGCAAAGTCACAGGTTCCGCACCTTCCACTGGAAGAGTAATGGGCTAGGACTTTGCTGTATGTGCCAACAGAGCGGTGTTTGAGTCTTCTTGGGAAGCCCCAAAGTGTCAGAATTGGGGCAGGAATCTTGAATTCTCAGGAAGAGCTTCAGATTCTACCGAACTCTCTGATTTCAGAATTTCTTTTTCTGTCCCCTAACTAGCATGGCGGTAGGGTTTGCTGGGGACTATAAAAAGAGAAGAAATGCTTATTATTTAATAAACTTACTTGATGATGCTAGAAAACTCTCAGGAAAAGTAAGAGCCAAGGTAGGAGGATCCAGGAGTACTAGACTACAGAACCTATCCTCAGAGAATCTGCTGTTGGCTGGGCTGTCATTTACTTCTTCCTTTTCTCCAAAGTCTGTTTTCTAGGGCCCCTCATTTACAACCTGCCCTTCCATCTCCTTTTGGCAAGCAAATAATGGTGCCACGCAACCCTGTTCAGGATAGCATGGGCTTTGAGGCACCTGGGAAGGAGGTAGACACACAGAGAACACTTACGCTGGGCCACTGCCAGGGTGGTAGCTAAAGCAGTTAGAGAGCCACGAGTCTGAGTTGTTTCTTCACCCTTCTCTTGCTTCTCTTCTGCTTCCATGATGAGGAGCAGGGAGGAAGTAGAGTAGTTGGTTGAAGCTATAGTAAATGTCAGAATACAGACTTGGTGTGGAAGAGCCCAATTTCAGGCTTGACATACTATCGGGTCATGGGGAATCGTGGGCCTGGTACACTGGGTCCTTCGAAGTGACCTCACTGTGGGGAACAGAAATAGGAGAGAACAAAGTGGGGGGCTAACAGCAGAAAGACAGAGGTGACCAAATGATCTCTTAGACATCTTATTTTTCTTTCCAGTCCTGGAATAATTAACTATGTATGCCCAATCTCTCTCTCTCTCTCTCTCTCTCTCTCCCTCTCCCTCTCCCTCTCCCTCTCCCTCTCCCTTTCCTCCTCCCTGCCTCCCTCCACACAGTGTTCCAAATTGAAAGTCAATAAATCCAATAGTCAAAGCAATGTCTATAGTCAAACCCAGAGTATGGCTCTCTTTCCCCTTGTTCCCCTTGAGCTTGGCTGCTATTTCCTGCTCTCTACACACGCCTCTTGCCTGTCCTTTCGTTTCAAGGAGAGCATTCTGGGCTGACCAGGGTCGCTGAACCAGAAATTCCTTTTACTGGTATATTATCAGTCTCACAACACAAAGATTCAAAACTAAAGAACTGGCTGAAGTGAGGACATTGAATTGAGAAGGGCAGAAAGTCTGTTTTCCTATTTCTGCCCAGGTAGTGCCAATCAATGAGATGCCACAGCAATACCCCTTTGAAAGGAGCAGAGAGTATCTCTTTGATACTCTCCATGGTGGGGCTGGGGTGTCAGGCTGCTGCAGCCCGAGGGCGGGGGGTGCGGGGGGTGGACTATGGAGATGAGCTTATTGCACAGAGCTCTACTTGTTAGAGATCTTGTCCAGATGGGCCAACTGCACAAATCTGCCCTGTTGGAAGTCTCAAGAACAATGCCCTGGAGACAGCTACAGTACTGAGCAATAGAGCCTGCCCAACTGGGACTCAGATCAGGGCATCAGCTGGTGCTGGGAGTCAAGGAAGCCAAAGTACCAACCAACATAATAGCCCAAAGGAGCTCACAAAGCTACTCAGAGGCAATGCCAGGTGGAAGGTACGATCCCTCCCCATCCCAGCTCCCATGTAGAGAAGGGAGACGCATGCTGCCAGAAGCAGGTGCAAATAGCTTTCATTTTCCTCACCCATCTCACATATGCACAGGGGTTGAGGGAATGCTGGGGCTCACTGGGAGCATCTGATACCTAGCAATCCATTCCATCACAGAATTTGTAAATGCGGGCCCTTCTTACCACAGTGAATTAGCAGGGGTGATGTAAGAGGCTCGTTCAGAGGTCACGTCACCCCTCCACAGACTCGCACTACTTTCTGCCCTGATCTCATCTGAAGTGATTTGGGGATTTAAAAGGTCTTTTTTAAGAAGGGGAAAAACTTCCTACATAAATAAAATGGTTTCGTGTTTTCATTAATTCATTGTTAATATTTAATGTCAGTTAAATATTTTATACATATATTTTTCCAGAGAAAAACTCTCTATTTATTCCCTTATTGGGGCTATCAGGACCTCCATCTTCCTTTCAGTTTGCTTTGCTTTTTGAAAAACCAGTGGTCTGTCTTCCTTTTTCCCTTCAATCCACTAGCAGGGTCTCTTGCTATCTACAAAACCACAAAGCCAAAAGAGCTTTCTATATGGAAGAAATATAGTGATTAGAATACATTCTTCTCACTCTCTCCATACACATTTTTCTCCAGCTATTAGCACAAAACAGTCTTCTAGCTGAAATGTGAGGTTGACTCTTGAAGATATTTTCTCTTACTGAGCCATGCAAACAGCTCAGCTTTGTCCAGAATGTGTCACCTGCTGGGATTATATATATGTTCCCACTTGCATCTCCCAATTTACTATTATAGTTATTATTCTCTCATCATTTCTGGTTATCAAAATCTTAAAGTTGATTTCACTACATTGGGATTGAAGATCTTCTAGGTTGCTCTGTTGACGGAAGACAAATCAACCAAGCAAGGGTGCCACCAAGGGATTGGAAAGCCAGGAAGTATTATCATTTGTTCAGTGGAAGAAATGGCAAATAAGCTCTTTGAGGGCAGGGACTGCTACTTAGCGATACTACATATGGGCACGTATTGTGAAAGTGACTTTTCACTTGCTTTAACATATACCAAATTTCTGTTCATTCTTTCTCCATGAATTTAATTAATCACAAAACAATAGATCTGGAAGACATCTTACACAATTAGATGGGGTTCACACACACACACACACACACACACAGAGGTTGATCTTTAGATGTAACTGATTCAAAGTTAAGAAAGGTTGCAAAACTTTGTAAATCGCATTATTGATTTAAGAATGATAATATTCTGATTAAACTCTGTAACACTCCATATATGAAGACAAGTACTGAGCTATATTTAGAAATCAATCAGCAGGCTGGCACCGCGGCTCACTAGGCTAATCCTCCGCCTTGCGGCGCCTGCACACCGGGTTCTAGTCCCGGTCGGGGCGCCGCATTCTGTCCCGGTTGCCCCTCTTCCAGCCCAGCTCTCTGCTGTGGCCAGGGAGTGCAGTGGAGGATGGCCCAAGTGCTTGGGCCCTGCACCCCATGGGAGACCAGGATAAGTACCTGGCTCCTGCCATCGGATCAGCGCAGTGCGCCAGCCTCGGCGGCCACTGGAGGGTGAACCAATGGCAAAGGAAGACTTTTCTCCCTGTCTCTCTCTCTCACTGTCCACTCTGCCTGTCAAAATAAAAAAAAGAAAAAAGAAAAGAAAAAGAAATCAATCAGCAGATGAAAAGCCTGGCAGGGGCAAGTCAGTGGCGGGGATTTTTGTGATACAGCCATCCGAACCACCCGCTCTGTGTATTGTCCCCGCTGCAAAGTCAGGCATCTCTGAAGGATTCGCAGTTAAGCTGTTCTTCCTAGCCTCACATCCTTTGCTGCATCACACTTCACGTCGATTATAACGTTTCCAAACTTGGCTGCTAGAGTCAGTTAGCGATGCTGGTTAGGCCAAGAGGACAAGAGCATCTGTGCCAAGGCACACTCGCAGGGCATTCTCTTCACGGAAGGATGACGGAGTAAGTGTGCCATCATGGAGCCACCTAAAGAGGTCCCCTGAGAACTCGGCCATTGCCACCCCACCTGACCCGCTCTGACCTCCTGCCTCTGCTTTCACCACGAGGCTTTCCTCAAGTGCCCTGGCCGCATGATACTGGGTGGTGCGTTACCAAGGAAGCAAATGCTTTCTATCTCAATTCCCCACAGTAAGGGCAAGTTTTTACCATAACCTAAATTCAAGGAACATGTTGTCTTACAGAGCTGGAGCTAGAAAAATATACAGATAGTGGGTATTTTCCTGGTGTGCATTCATGACAGCATAATGTCTAAGACAGCGTGGTGGCTTTGGTACCAGACACAGCCTGGGTTGGAATTACAATTCCAGCACTTAGCATACCAGGGTTCTTACACAAATGATGTCACCTCTCTTAGATTCAATTTCCTCCTCTACTGGGTCATTTGAAGGCTCTGAAAGACCCAGCACACAGTAACTATGCGATCTTAAGAAAATCATTGATCCTTTCTATGCTTCAGTTTCCACATCTGTAAAATGAAGGTGATGGGGCCAGTGCTATGGTACAGCGAGTTAAGCTTCTGCCTGCAATGCCAGCATCCCATATGGGCACCAGTTCTAGTCCCGGCTGCTCCACTACCCAACCAACTCACTTCTGACAATGTGCCTGGGAAAGCCACAGAAACCCTGCCACCCATGTGGGAGACCAAGATGGAGTTCCAGGCTCCTGGTTTCAGCCTGGCCCAACCCTGTACATCACAGCCATTTGGGAGTGAACCAGTAGTTGGAAGGTCTTCTATCTGTCAGCAGGCTTTTGAAATAAATAAAAATAAATCGTTTAAAACTTTTTAAAAAATAAAGTAAAATGAAGGTGATAACAATACCTATCTCATGGGGATTTTTGTGAGTATTAAGCAAGATAATGCAGGTAATGTTTACCTCAGTGCTTGGCACATAGTAAATGCGCAATAAAACTAGCCGTTACTTGACCACATCCATTATCATCATAGCATCTTCTACACCTCTCAAATTTCTGGCCTGGTTACTATTTCAAATTTCCATTTATGTGACTCACCTTCCTGAGTATACACTCAAAAAAATGGTCAAGCAAAAATCACTTATCTTTTATGTTTTCAGTCTATCTACAGGTACTGGGTTCTTCCTGATGGTATAGAACATGCTGACAAACTATGTAACAGAAAATTGCTAAATCTCTGAATCTCACCTTTTTTAGCTGGGGTGGAGAAAAGTATCTCCCATTCAAAATGAAAAAAAAAAAAAACTAGAAACTACCATTCAAGCTTTGCATTTGGAGCAGCAGTTAATATACCACTTAGAAGGATGCCTGCGCACTATATTGGAATGCCTGGGGTCGAGTCCTAGCTTTGCTCTCAATTCTAGTTTCCTGCTAATACATACCCTGGGAGGCAGCAGGTGTTCAAGTACTTGGGTCCCTGCTACACTCATGGGAAATTTTAATTGAGTTCTTGGCTCCTGACTTCAACCTGGCCCATCCCTGGCTATTGCAGGCATTTGAGGAGTGAACCAGCAGCTCTCTGTCTCTCTGTCTCTCTATCTCTCTCTGTCTGTCTCTCTCTCTCTTTGTGTGTGTGTGTGTGTGTGTGTGTGTGTGCTTTTCAAATAAATAAATTTTGGGACCGGTGTTGTGGCTCGGCCAGCATCCCAAGTTCCAGCAGCTGCAATTATGATCCAGCTCCCTGCTAATACACCTCTCTCTAACTCTGCCTTTCAAATAAATATTTTTTTAAAAAATGAAACAGGAATACTATATAAACTTACAAATATAGTTCTGTACAAGGCATTATTGCAGAACCTAAATCTGTCTGTATGCTGAAGTAACAGATTTCAAAACTACTTAAAAAAAAAAAGGTGGTATCTGGTTAGAATCTTGAAAGGTGAGTAGAAATACTTCACGTGGTAGAAGTCAAGGAGAGGCATTTAACGTCTAGGGAACAGCATGTGCAAAGGCACAGAGAATGAGACAGAATGAGTTGCTAGGGTCAGAGTGGATCAGCGTGGGAGGCACTGTAAGGGGCCTGATCAGATTTCCTACAGGTCAATTTAAGGAGGAACCTGGGATTTTTGCTGAGGCAATAGGGAGCTATCAAAAGATTAAAAGCCAGGAACGGTCATAAAAAGACTTTTAGAAAGGTTACATTGGCATCACTTCTCAGCCTTTTGGCTAAGATCAAGTGTAGAAAGGTTATATTGGCAATAGTGTAGAGGTAGGAAACCATACTGGACTCAAAGGTTGAATCAAGATGAAGTCAGGGAGGACAGAGAAGGAGGGAGAGACTTCAGAAATACTTTAAAGGTATACTCAACAAGACTTGGTCATTGATTTTATCTGAGGGCCATGGAAAAGTTGTTGTCAAAGATGACTCCTAGGTTTGTGGCTTAGGTGACTGGGCAAAAAGTACCACTCTTCACCTTTGGTAAGACTGGGTGGCCAGGGTTGCAGCACAGTGGGTTAAGGCACTGCCTGCAACACTGGCATCCCGTATGTGCACTGGTTTGAGTCCTGGCTGCTTCATTTCCATCCAGCTCCCTGCTAATGCACCCGGAAAGGCAGCAGAAGATGGCTCAAGTGTTTGGGCCCCTGCCACCTATGTGGGAGACCCAGATGGAGTTCCAGGGTCCTGGATTCAGCCTGGTCCAGGTCTGGTCATGGCAGTCATTTTGGGAGTGAACCAGCAGATGGAAGATCGTTCCCTCGCTCTCTCCCTCTCTCTGTAACTCTGCCTTTCAAAGAAATAAACAAATCTTTTTAAAAAGATTGTGAAGATTGGAAGATGGGTGGAAGAGAATATTTTAAGATTTATTTTATTTGAAAGGGAGAGAGAGAGAGAGAGAAGAGAAGAGAAGAGAAGAGAAGAGAAGAGAAGAGAAGAGAAGAGAAGAGAAGGAGGAAGAGGAAGAGGAAGAGACCTTCCATCTGCTGGTTCACTCCCCAAATGGCGGCAACAGCCAGGGCTGGGCAAAGCAGAAGCCAACAGCCAGGAGCTTTATCCTGGTCTCCCATGTGGGTGCAGGGGCCCAAGCACTTGGGCCATCTTTCACTGCTTTCCCAGGCCACTAGCAGAGAGCTGGATCAGAAGTGGAGCAGCTGGGACTTGAACCAGTGCCCGTATGGGATGCTGGTGTTGCAGGCAGCAGCTTAACCTGTTATACCACAACACTGACTGGGAAGAGAATGTTTTAAGGAGATTGTGACTTTTCTGACTCTAAATATGTTGAGTTTGTGAGGTACTCATGGTACAGGGGTAGAAATTTGAGAATCATCAGCTTGCAGATTGCCCCAGCCATGGAACTAGTCCAGAATAGCCAAGCAGTACGTGTACAGCAGGAGAGGTGAAAGCTGGAGAATAAGAACAAGAAGGAGCCAGCGCCACAGCTCAATAGGCTAATCCTCCGCCTTGCAGCGCTGGCACACCGGGTTCTAGTCCCAGTCGGGGCACCAGATTCTGTCCCGGTTTGCCCCTCTTCCAGCCCAGCTCTCTGCTGTGGCCAGGGAGTGCAGTGGAGGATGGCCCAAGTGCTTGGGCCCTGCACCCCATGGGAGACCAGGAGAAGCACCTGGCTCCTGCCTTCAGATCAGCGCGATGCGCCGGCCGCAGCGCACCGGCCTCGACGGCCATTGGAGGGTGAGCCAACGGCAAAGGAAGACCTTTCTCTCTGCCTCTCTCTCTCACTGTCCACTCTGCCTGTCAAAAAAAAAAAAAAAAAAAAAGACGGAATAGTCAGAGGGGCAAGAGAAGAACGTAGAAAATGAAAGCCATGGGAGAAGAGAATTTCAAAAAGGTTTGACAGTACTGACAAATGTTACAGAGAGATCAGGAAAGATTAGGACAGTGTTGATTTCATAGAGCAAGAAGAAGGCAGCATGAGAAACACAGGAAACACATTAGGGGGGAAGTAGGGGGAAGAAAGCAGAGGATAGATTATAGTGGCTTAAGGAGTAAGTAAGGGCAAAGACGAGGGTGTGAAAATGACTAATAATGATATTCCTTTTAAGGGATATGGCAGTGAATGGAAAGAGGGCAACAGATCAATAGCTAGAGAAGAATTCAAAGTCACATAGAGGATAGCTTTTTTTAAAAAGGACTTTAAAATATTTTTTAAATTTTCTAAAGATTTACACTAAAGGTAGTTACAGAGAGAGAAGGAGAGACCGAAAGAGAGGTCTTCCATCTACTGGTTCATTCCCCAAATGGCCACAATAGCTGGAGCTGGGCCAAGCTGAAGCCAGGAGCCTGGAACTCCATCTGGGTCTCCCACATTGGTGGCAGGGGCCAAGCATGTGGGTCATGTTCCACTGTTTTCTCAGAAGCAAGCAGGGAGCTGGATGGGAAGTGGAGTTACCAGGACTCAAACCAGTGCTCAAATGGGATGCCGGCATCACAGGTGGCAGCTTAACCTGCCCTGCCACAACCATGTAGTGTTCTGCCACACCAGCCCCATACAGTGTTCTTTTAACTGTTTCTCTCACACATAAATATGAGTTTGAGGTCAGGAATTATAATGCATTTATTTTTATGTTCTCTGTACCAGGGTGAGAACGTGAAATGGATTAGTATTTGCTAACACTGTAGTTCTTAAAAAAGTTTTTTTCAACCACCCAGTTTCCGTACTAGTTCTTACCAACTCTATTTTCTTTGTAAGGGCTGTGTCATAAAGGACAGTACTTTCAAGGCAACAAGCATCCTTATTTATATTTTTCTTTTTCAAAGCCTTGAAGTGGTGTATCATCCTCAGAGCAAAGCTTTCAGGTAAGAAAACCGTGTATCCATGCAAGGGGTGAGGAAATGAGGCTGGGAGAGGTTAATGGACTCATCCAAGTCTCACAACAAAAGCAAAACCCAGGTTTCCTATTTCTCAGTACAATGACTTATCTATTAGGCAAAGAATCTCAAAAATCATCTTCAAGGAGTCCTAGGCTTTTAAGGGAAGAAAAAAACAGGTAGCAACACACACACACACACACACACACACACTCATTTCAGTAAGAGTAACTCCACTTTCACCTTATATATTCACATCACCATAATATTTTATTTGGGGTAGGGAGGGGGAGCAAGGGAAGAGCTTATTGCTGCTTTAAAAAAATTTGAGAAATGAAACTACCATCAGGGCTGGCATTATGGTGCAGCAGGTAAAGCCACCATCTACAGTGCTGGCATCTCATATGAGTACTGGTTCAAGTCCTGGCTGCTCCACTTCCAATCCAGCTCCCTGCTAATGCACACAGGAGGGCAACAGAGGATGTCCCAAGACTTTGGGCCCCTGTACCCATGTGGGAGGCCTGAAGGAAGCTCCTGGCTCCTGGCTTCAGCCTGGCTCAGCACTGACAGTGGCAGCCATCTAGGGAGTGAACCAGCAGATGCAAGATCTCTCTCTGCCTCTCCCTCTCTGTCTGTAAGCCCTTCTGCCTTTCAAATAAATAAATAAATCTTTAACAACAACAACAACAACAACAACAACAAAACTCTATACCATCTGTAACTGTCACAGGTAAGCCATTTAACCAGTCAAGGGATGTTACAAGTGTATTATTCGGCTAGTATTCTAAGAGGACCTTGCTGTTTGAGAACAGACTAAACTGAAGGACAGCCATGACAAAGGAATATAATAATTGGATATCATGTCTAGGTCTAAGACCCTCTTCAAATTATCAACCTACAGAAACACGAAATACTTGTCACCCTACCTCTCCTTACACTTACTATCAATGCCTGGCTGAGGCCTCTAGGCTTATCAGTTCTCAGTTTAATGCTAAAGACAGTCCTGACCATCAAAGGACAAGAATGCTTGGGACCACTGGTCACAGCAACACATTTGGTATCTTGACTGCATTTAACTTTCAACACTAATTCTTCTATATAGAAATAAAGAGGTGGCCCTTTGGCTGGTGCCGTGACTCAACAGGCTAATTCTCCGCCTAGCGGCACCGGCACACCAGGTTCTAGTCCCGGTCGGGGCGCTGGATTCTGTCCCGGTTGCCCCTCTTCCAGGTCAGCTCTCTGCTATTGCCCGGGAGCGCAGTGGAGGATGGCCCAAGTGCTTGGGCCCTGCACCCCATGGGAGACCAGGAGAAGCACCTGGCTCCTGCCTTCGGATCAGTGTGCTGCGCCAGCCGCAGCACGCTGGCCGTGGCAGCCACTGGAGGGTCAACCAACAGCAAAGGAAGACCTTTCTCTCTGTCTCTCTCTCTGTCCACTCTGCTTGTCAAAAAAAAAAAAAAAAAAAAAGGTGGTCCTTTTAGAAACCTAATGAATCATGGGATTTCCCATAAGGTAAGTGGGTCAGCAGGTCACAATGTCCCAGAATTCCAGAACCTGGCATAACAGAGCTGGGAGGGCCTTCCCAGATCATTTCAGTCTTGTCGCTTCATCAGACAACATGGGGTATTGAGGGTCCGAATGGGCAAAGCCCAGACCCTACTTGTAACCTCCTTTTTCCATTAACTCATTTGTAGCTGTGAAAGGAAAAATAGAATAGAAAGGGCAAGACTAGAGAGACTAGAGTATTATCACTTATTAGCTCCAGAGGCTCACTTCTTCGACTTCCTGAACTGAGACTCAAGGCTAAAGGTAATCTTCATCAGAGGAAACTGTTCCTATAATGACTATTCAGTCCTGAACCTCTTCCTTGTCTGTCTTTTGACTGATACCCAGGTTCAATTATCATAGTCCCCATAGGAAGGGGATAGCCAAATCTTGGCAGCAGGATCATATTACAAAAATAAAATGGTCATGCCAAGCTCCACATCCTATAAATTTAGGGTTTCCTCCACTAGAGTTTCTTTGTGAATTCCTTAGACTTATACTTCCTTTAGCCCTAGCTGGTATCATCATTTCATTGACCTAAGCTGCAGGTTGGTTCTTTCAGAAAGAAGAAAATGCGGTTTCTCATTAATTATCATTTTTTCTATATTTATAATTAATTATATCTTATAATTATAATCCACTATTCTAATGAAATGTACTACACTGATTTTGGAGTTCAACCTTTCCTATCCTATTTCATTAAGATTTCAAATTCCAGGTATATAACCCTCTTCATCCAGGGCCCTCAAGAGACAAGAACAACAGATTATGGAAATGAATCCATTATCTTCTTTCTGCTACTTATGTAACCTCTCTAATATCTTAGTGGTGGATTCATGTTTAGGGTAAATGATTAAAGAGAGAGAGGAAAGGTAAAAACAAATTGCTATAGCTTTAAGATGTCACTGATTCCATCCGGATGGTATTCCTCAAGCAAGAAATATCCAGTGAGGACTGCAGCTACAAAATTGTCTCCATTTCCTCCCTTTGTCTTTCTGTGGGGTACGGGTGGGTGCACACTGCCTCTATGACATCTTCCAACCAAATGAACAATTTTACATGTGGACATAAGCACATTTGGCCATAATGTCAAAATTCTGGTTTGAAGAACCAATAAGCAAATTTCTTCTGTTTTTAGAGGAGGGGTTGGGGAGGGGAAGAATCAGGAAGGGAGAGTACATGAGTCCACAAGATAATGAGAAGGCTAGGGTTTGGGGAAAGCTAAGGTTAGAACTATCTGGGTTTTGCTTGATTATTCATTTTGCTTTGTGTTTTCAGAAGTCAGTGTTCTCTCATGAGTTCTTCCTCTCAAAATTGAAAACTTTTAATGTTTTCCCTTCGCATATAGGTGGAGGACCAGTCCTTGAGACCAGCTTTCACTTGCAGGTGCGTCATCTCCCTTGGATTCATTCACAAATTATGGTGGAGTAGCTACCACAATAGGAACTGTGCTAAACACACAGTATACACAGTTAAGAAGAAACTTAGCACTTAGCCTCATAGATCTTGTATTCTAGCAGGGAAGACAGACTTGGACTAAGTTCCTGGATGATAGTGAGATGGAGAAAACGGGGTGGGGGGGTGTTGTGGAAATACGTAAGAGGGACACTGACCTACTCGTGGCCCAAGTTGGGGAGGGAATGTCTAGAAAGGCTTCCCTGAGGCAGACACATTTCAGATGTGACCTGAAAGAAAAGGAAGAAGCAAAGCAGCAGGAAGGACCAAGGAGACAAAGGAGAAGGAAAGTGCGAAGTGTAACAGAGCTTTGAAGAGGGAAGTGGTATAAAAGATTCTCATCTGAAAAAAAAAATCTGACCGCAGTGTGGAGAACAGATTGTAGGGAAACCACAGTAGGTCAGCAGGTGAAAACAGTGGTGTCTTGCAAGAAGGCGTGTCACAGGTGCTGAGGGAACAGAAAGCAAAAGCACTTAACTAGAGGCTGGGCATCAGGGAAGGGCTCCGTAAGGAAGTAACATTCCAAGTGAGACTTGCAGGCTGGGTTCGCCATGGTGAGGGAAGTGAGGGATGTGAGGGAGTGAGGAGTGAAGAGAGGCCCAGACACTAACCTTCTCCTTTAACCAAAGCAGGTCTCATTTTCACTAAGGACCTCGTCCTGGTCTGGAATGCCTGGTACCGTTTCTTCCTAGCCAAACAGTGCCTATGTTTCTACAGCCCTCCCCAGTGCCAGGTCCACTGATGACACCCCAATACGACTTACTGTTCCTGCTTATAAATTTCTATTCCATACGTATTGCTAAGCATTAAAGATCTACTATTCAGGGTAGTTACTTAACTTCACACAGATTCACATGTAAGCTACTTGGATTTGCAAACTCTTTTCTATTACTTTAGCATCATCCAGGGTATCTAGCACAATGAGGGACTGTGTGACACAGTCATTGAATGAATGAATGAATGAATGAGGCACTAGAGTCTCTGCAGACCTCCTTTAGATATTCACTATTATCCGTGAAGCTAATAGGAAAGGGATGTACTTTGTGTAAAAGATTCCTACAACTTGCATGCGAAGACCTGAGATCTGAAATTGACTATTCCTTCCCACTGGTCACTGCTTCTCACCCCCTTGCAATCCTGGTCCCCACCCCGCCCCCCCAACCTTCTATTGTTTCTTCTGTCTTCTGGTTGTCAGCCAGGATGAGAAAATGGTCAAGCTGTCCTCAGAGACTTACGCCAGCCTGGGCTGCTCTGCAGTGCCATGAAGGGCCAGGACTTTTGTTTACAGCTGGGAGCATGGCGAGGCGGTGAGCACAGCTGACAGCCCCACTCTGGGGCAAACATCAATCTTCCTCTGTCCTCTCAGCCAAGTCTCACAGACCAGCTTTATTGAAAGCTGGCTGCACCCGCCTGGGCTCACTGATGTCCCACCCACAACTCGAGCCTGGGAGTAGCTGGGTGAATCTCAGCTTTGTACCTTTTAGGAACTGCCCTTGCTCTCCTCTCTGTCCCTGTTTGCAAATCGGCTTATCTCAACCTCTGGGCCTCGAAAGAGCATGTTCTGAGGACCTCTTGCCCTAAACAGTGCCCCTCCTCTCCAACCATATCTGCTATCTCCCAACAATGTACCAAAGCTCTCGTTTGCTCAATTACACAGTAAAAACACAACCGCCACCAAACCCAGAACTAAACCACACAGCTTTCAATGTATACTCTTTGGAATCTGTCTTTCCAAGCTGAGCGGCCATATTGCAGGTTTTTGAAAGTGTGTGCATATGTGTGTGTGTGTTTTCTTCGCCTTCAGATGGATTTCCCACTTTTTTCAAAACTACAAATCAGTTGGGGCCTGGAGCTTCCACCATACTACTCATGAGGCCCTAAGTGACAAAGAGGTCCTCTTTGTCACATACGCTGCTCCCGGGCATCTCCTCCTTAGCAGCTTTTCCCTCTTCAGTGTTCCTACGCGCTGAGAATGAAGCCCTGGTTCTCCCAGTTCTCTCTCTTGCCCCCACATTCCCTTTGCCTGCTGGCTAACACGGCTCCCGCCAATTAGCTGAGGCCTCTTCCCCTGGGTGTCAGCCTCCCCCACTCCCAAACGCCTGAGGGATATGATACACGTCTTTGACCCCCACTTGCTCTTGCAGCAATGCTTCTTTTGAGGCCTGGTGGAGCGCCACCGCAGGTAGGAGAGTCTCCTTCTTCGAGACTTCATCAGTTCTTCTGGCCAAGTCTTTTTCCATCTAAACCCCCCCCACCCCGAGATTTTTTACATGGTGCCTCCCTACCAAAGAGTGTGCATTCTACCTAATCCCTTGGTCAATGCGTACTCTTCCAAACAGAAACCCATGCATGTTCTCTTCCCCCGGACTGATGGAGCAGCTTTTAACACCTTTTTTTGTCTTTTTAAAACGTTTCACTGTGAAAATTTCAAAAATACATACAAGAGGAGGAAAACTAGTATAATGAACCCCCATGTGCCCATCACTAAGCTTCAGCAACTCAGATGCAACATTTTAAGTATTACTACCTCATCACTTCTCAGCATTTTGGCTAACATCAAGTGTAGTATTACTACCTCATCCTCTTTTTAAAACTTTTTATTTAAGTTATACAAGTTTCGTGTATTTCATATGTACAGATTTAGGCCTCATCCTCTTTTAATATGATACCTGATATTTACAAAAGGCATAGCTTTTATCATACCCATTGAAAGGTGGCCTATAGGCAGAGATTGTAATCATAAGCAAACTTAAACTTGAGAATAATGGCTCAAAGTAGAACTTCACATGATTATTCCCAGTGAAATCTGTGGTTCACAAGACCACAAACCTTTGCAAACTACATGATCAACTATTAACTTAGGGAGGGGAAAACAAGAGATTACGTGCAACTCTGATATCCCAAGGTCACTCAAGGACTGCACAGATTAGCTTCAGGCTTTCAGCTATTTGCAAGGTCCTCTTTCTGTCAAATGGACGAGTCAGTTGGGTTGTGAATTAAATATGAGAGAGGAGCTAGAAGAGAAGAGATTACTCACAAAGGATAAATTTTCCCATGATATTTTCCATTTTTTTTTCTTATTTGTCATAGGCTAAGCAACCAGATTGAACCAGACTGATCTGGTCTGGTTTAATGAAATCCCTATTGAATGAGGCAGGGACAAATGCACAGTAAAACATCCTCATGTAAGAAATACCATTTTTGCTAAATACTTGGTTTTGTTTTTCAACTTTTACAGTAACCAAATATTCCTTTACAAGACATCCAAAAAGCTAGTCAGAACAAAATTTTTAATGCCAAAATTAACCCTAGAATACAGCCATTTCATCTGCTACCCAGAGGCCATAGGACACCCTCCCGAACAGACTGATCACTACCTTCCAGAACTAGGAAGGCTCTCTTAGCCACAGGGTGAGACAAGCAAGGCCAGAAGACCACCCTGGGCAATTTGCGTAAGGGTGCCCAACTAAGGGAACACAAATCTGGGCTGAAATTCATTCTTCAACTACCCTGGTGAAACTGTAGCAGCCTAGAGAAAGAAAAGAATTTTTCTCATTGTTCCACTGATGTGGACACTTCTGTGCAATGTGTCTGCCCCCAGGTGGCACAGGTTTCTAATCTGCACAAAGGCATTTATGAGCTAATGGTGCCCTTGCAAATTAACACAGGGTTGTCGGAGCTATTCTATGTCCTGTGAAGGCTAGGACCATAAATAGTCGCTGTCTGGCCTTGGGCCTTGGAGCCAAACAAACCTAAGCTATCTTTCCCTTCCAGTTGAAACAGATTGTGAAGACAGCAATTCATCTGTGAATCTGCAAGAAGAGTAACTCGCATTTTCCAGGGACCCACTACCCATCAGAAATCTTCTGAAGCCTAATCTCACCAGTAAGTGAAGGCAGCAGAGGGGCTTTCATACTTTGGGGGGTAGTATGACATAACTGGGGGAAAGGTTGGGCTTCAGAGTAAGAGAAAAGTCTCAATCCTCGCTCTACCATTTACTTGGTGAGTAAATTGGGGAGAGAGTTTGACTTCTCTGGGCCTCAGTGAGGATTTACTAAGATAACAGATGTGAAAGAGCTGGGCATTGTGCTGCCTGGCACATCAGAGGTATTCACTTCCTATGCCTTTTTCTGCTACCACCCAGACTGCAAAGCTAATTCACATTCTTCACACGCTTGTCATTGAAGCCTCATTCAATCAAGTGTATCCACAGGTCCATAAGACAGAATATTGAAGCAAGAGTCAGGAGACGTAGATCCCAATGACTCTTGTTACAATAGTACCTTAGTTGTTTCCTGCCCTGACCCCATCAATAAAATGGGAGAACCTGAGCCCTGATGCTGAAAGAGCACAAGAAATGACTTTTCTTGGGCATCTGCCATGAGACATGGGCTATACTAGGTCCTTTTTCATACCTTACATCCTCTCAATCAGCACAGTCCAGAAGAACTTTCAGAGGTCAGGGGACTGTTGTGTATCTGTGCTAATATGAGAGTTGCTAGCCATAAGCACCTACTGAGTCCTAGAAATATGGCTAGTGCAACTGAGGAACTGAATTTCTAATTTTTGTTCATCTTAATTCAATTTAAATAGCCACACGTTAGGCTGGACACTATATTAGGAAGTGTGGCTGTAAGGTTATGAAGCAGAAATATTTGCTCTCATTTAATATATGGTGACACTGATGCTTAAACAAGTTAAGGGGCCAGTGCCGTGGCTCACTTGGTTAATCCTCTGCCTGCGGCACTGGCATCCCATGTGGGCACTGGTTCTAGTCCCGGTTGCTCTTTTTCCAGTCCAGTTCTCTGCTGTGGCCCGGGAGGGCAGTGGAGGATGGCCCAAGTGCTTGGGCCCCTGCACCCGCATGGAGAACCAGGAAGAAGTACCTGGCTCCTGGCTTCGGATTGGCACAGTGCCGGCCATAGCGGCCATTTGGGGAGTGAGCCGGCGGAGGGAAGACCTTTCTCTCTGTCTCTCTCTCACTGCCTATAACTCTACTTGTCAAATAAAAAAAAGAACTTGATTGAAATCACTTAAATAGGAAGTAAATCAGATTCAAATCTGAGAGTAGGAGGCTTAGGAGAGTAATAGGATCAGATATTCCAGGGATTATCTGGGCTTCACGATTTACAAGTTATATGACCAAAGAAAAAGAATTACAGACTGTGCAACTCACTTCCAAAATCTATGCAATCATGATAATTATCACCTAATCTATAGGCCTTATTGTTGGAATACATGGGTATACAGTCTTACAGTGTGGCCCATAATAGGTCTTCAGCAACTGTGTTTCTTCACCACCCTAATTATTTCATCACACACAGAAGACAAGTGCAGAGTACAGAGAACACTAGAGAAAGAAAAAAAAAAAAAAGAAAGGAAGCTCATGGGCTTTTATGTGACCTCCTATTGCAGAATGGAACTGGGGAAGGGTATGAAAATCATCAAAATATTTCCATTTAATTGTTTTTGCTTTACTGCCCTCTCCCTCATGTTCCAGTCAACATTATCCAAATCAGAGGAAAAAAGATACTATTTTTTTGAGACAAGTTGATGTGGTTGCACAACAGAGCACTGTTAAGAAGTTGGACTGAGGAGGCAAGTAAAGTTCAAATCCTGGTTCCATACTAATTGAGTGCACAAGGAAAATAATTCCATACCTCTTCATATTTGATTTTAATGTGTAAAATGTGTCTGATAATACAGCTCGTTTCAAAACATACTCATCATTTACTGATTGGCTTTCTATTCTGTAGCACCCTCTAGTGGTGTCTGCAAAAGCAAGCACTGTATTTCAGCCCTTCAAAGCCCTGGTCCTCAAACTTCAGGGTGCACTGAATCACAGATCAGTTTGCAATAACAGATTGCTAAACCACACACAGAGAATTTCTAACTCATTAGGCTGGAGGTGAAACCTGAGAATGCGAATTGCTGACAACTCCCCAGAGGATGCTGAGACTTGTGGGAAACACATTTTGAGAGCCACTGCCCTAAAAATCCCTCCCATGTATGTACAGATATATATGATGGATAACTATAGGTTAGTTAGATTTTGCTTGATTTTGTTTTGGCAGTAGCCATCTAATAAGGATTTAGGGTACAATAAGATATATATGTGAAACATTTAACACAGCATCTAAAACATAAGAAAGCATGCAACAAACTGAGGATCACAGGACAGAAATCATTTGTCCAGGGTCACAGGGCTACTGAGTGGTGAAACAGGGTTTAAAATAGGGTCTCTGACGTCAAAGGCACAACAAAGTTAAGCGGAATCAGTGCAGAAGGGGGTGGGGAGGAATATACATAACATTAAAAAATTCAAAGGGGAAAGATTGGTTTTCAATACCAATGTCCAAGTTTTATCTCTGAGTTCTTATCTTTCTTCACTGACTAAGTAGTCAACTGCATTATCCATTTAGGGGAATAGGGAGCATTGGTAAGAGGGGTAAGGGTTTGCATCAGCTTCAGCACCTAGGGTTACAAGAGTGGAGAAGGTGACTTTTTTCCCATGGAGAAAATACAAAATCAGCAAAAAACATCTGGCTCATGGGTCATAGTGTCATAACAGGGCTATTTATTAAAGTTGATTTTATTTCTCCCTAAAGATTAAAGATATACTGCCTATATGATCCCTATAGCTTGTTTGGAGAGTTCAGCAAACAAGAAAAGGGGGAATAATACCCCATAATCCCAGGGACCGATCCTTTACTGGGATTTGGCGGCATCTAGCGGCAGGCTCCAGAGGTAGCAACCTCAGCCAGAGAACTTTCTGGAAAATTAATTGAATGCGCATTTGCCTTAAGAAGGGCACTGTACTTGGAGATCGTGACAAACAGGTAAGAGGGCTTCATCCTTCACAGAAATTCAGAGTCGCTAGCGGAAGGGAAGGCTGTCCTATGCAGATATTTTTATGAGAAAATTTAATTTGTGCCAGAACTGCGAAAAGGGGCGCGGGGCAGGGGAGGGGGAAGAAGGGAGGAGGATAATTAGGGAAGTTAACAGAAGCTGCCCCTTGGAGTTGCTAATACGGGAGTGGGAGGATTTGGCTCTTAACCACTAAAGGACCGTTCATGGATTAGAAGAACGGAAGTAAATGTGGGAAGAAAGTGTTTGGGGGGGTCTAAAATGAAATCGGTAAGGAAAACAAATATTTCTTAACGGACACCTTTGGTTGCAGCGTGTATTCTTGGTTATTATTTTCTTTTTCAGTAAAACGGCTCTTCAAGCCATACACAGAAGAACCTGTATAGAGCGCCTCAGCTCCACACCCTCTGCCCCCTCCCCTCCAGGCCAAGGGTGCGCGCCTGCGCACACCCACCACTGCCGGCGCCACGAGGGCTTGCGCGCGCTCACGCCCCAAGGCCAACTAGCTAGCACGCGCAAGCGCGCGCGCGCAAGCGCACACACACACACACACACACACACTCACACACTCACACTCTCACACGCTACCCTTAACGCCCTGCGCTGGCGCCACTCACCACGCCAACTTGCGCGCACATCCAAACCCTCTCACTGCGCCTTTTTTTTCCCCTGCTCCGAGAGTTGCGCAACAGGCTCGGGGGCGTGGCCCTGGATTTGACCTCGCGCTTCCCCACTCGCGGGAACCTTAGCTCATTTCCGCCTATCCTATTTCCGCAGGCCACGTAGACACTTCCTTTCCCAGTGGAAAAAAAAAACCACAAACCCATAATGCCTCCCTGCAGAAAGGAAAAAAATTCTCTGGTCAGAGGAACTCTGGGTCGTGAAAATAGGCCACGTGAGCACTCTGCCCTATAGACTTATGACCCAACGGCTGTCGCGCTTTTGGAGGGCGGGTTCAGAATCTAAGAGCGCGAGCGTCATTGGCCAGAACCCGCGCGAAAGGAGGAAGCCGATTGGTTCCTTTTAGGCTCTAACCATGAAGAAGCAGGTTGCTACGCCCGCCTTTACTGCGGCGGAGTGTCATTACTGACGTCGGAGTCATTGTCCAATCATTTGGTTATGGAACATTCTAAAACTTAGACAAGACGATCGTGATTGGTTGAACGGCTTAAGCCCGCCTCCCGGGTGACGTGTCTGCGTATGGATATCAGTTGCCAGAGAAACCTGGCTTTACTATGGCGGTTGGAGGAACGGCAGTGATCACACGTCGGCTGCTGGGAAGAACTGGATTCTCGTTTCAGGTTTCGGGGTGGGGGGTGGGGAAAAAGGGTCGATGATTTCCCCTTTTCGGCGTTTTTATAGATAGGATTAGCTAATTGCTTCACAGTCGGGCAGAGCCGGATTCTGATTCCTGCTCGCCAACGCCCCGCTTGGGCAAGGCTCCTGTTCTTTCTGTGTCTCGGTTTCCATGTTTGTAAAATGGTGATAATAATAGTATCTACCTCAGAGACGTGTGCTCAGAGGTGTGTGCTCTAATAATGCGTAGAAGGCACTGAAGATGAAACCCGCTTTCTCGAGAGGCTCACTATTGTTACGGAGATAAATATCCACGTAGCAGAATGAGAGAAAAATACAAATTACGTAAATTCGCTCGTCACAGTGGCTTTTCTGCGCCCCAGCCTCCTCCCTGGGAGAAATTAAGGATAAAACCAGATAACTTGAATTTTTACCGATTAAATAATTTTACTTTCTGGGAATTGCCTCAAAATAGCGGGGATTGGAATTTTCCCATATTAAAAAGTTAAAGAGGAGGGGGATGGAGAACGATGAGCCACATGCGATGCGTAGGCCTTGTTTGGATCCTGATTCAAAAGCACGCCAACTGTAAAAATCTATTTAAGATGCGTCAGAAAAATTTGGTCACAGATTTCGATATTTGAAGGTTTTCAAGGAATTGATAGCGATTTTTTAGCCGTTGTAGTCCTATTGTGGTTATGTTCTCAGATTGTCTTTATTTGATACGATTTTTACAAAAATATTTGTGGGTTAAATAATTTAATGTTCGGGATTGTCTTCAAAACACGTTGATGACTAGCATTTCCTTCAGAATAATCTCAGCGGTAGGGGAGAGGGGGAGGGGAACAGAGGGGAGAAAATTAACCGTAAATTATTAATTGTTTAAGCTGAATTATAGGCATGTGGGTTTCTTCTATTAATCTCATTCTCTTGATATATACTTGAAATTTTCCATAATAAAATACACAAGTCAGCTATTCGGTGAGCTTTAAAAAGTCGGGGGAGGGGGGAGGGAGCAGTGGGTGGGGTTATAGATGAAACAAGATGGCCTTCAGTTAGTAATTGTTGAAGCTGCATGATGGATTCCTTCTACATTTTTATCTATTTGCTACTATCCTTAATAAAAAGTGGGGGGGGGGGGACAAATTAATTTGTCAAAGGTTGGATAAACATACAATAAAGTAAATTTGAAAATATAACCACAAGAAAGGAAAATGAAGCACTTGTACATTATTTATCAGCTTTGGTGTCCTTTGTGTGTAGTAAAATTGCTTATTCTGGTGGAGAAGAAAATCATCCTCTCATGCTTTTTTTTTAATGTCCTTTCTTGTCCCTTTGTTTGACCTTCTAGGTCACCGTCTGAAAAGCTTAAGTTTACTGTACAGTAAAAGGGTCAGGAGGTCTGATCCTGATAGCAGAACCATCCCTGTTTACAGAATCTTGGGTAAGTGCCTCCCTTCTCCTGACCTTAGTTCTCACACAACATACTACTACCTAACCTTACAGGAATGTTTGCAGAATTACTAAGCTCCTATCTGAGAAAGTACTCTTCAATGCTGAGTCCATTCATGCTTCCAGTATAGAAAAAGGATAGACGACAGAGGGTTTTACAATCTTCTGTGCGTTAGTAAAGTATACTGCTAAGATTGATTCTCTGTTAGATCCACAAATCCAGATTTTATTGGGGGGGGGGATGGCATCCCACATGCAGTATAATTCAATGTTGAGGAGCAAATAGCAACTTTCTGAATTTAAATCCTAACTCTGCCACTGTGTGATCTTGGATAAGATACTTAATTCACTTTGTGCCCAAGTGTCCTTATCTGTAAAAATGGAGATTCTAATATAGCATATAGCAGTTCTTGCTTCAGGACAATGCCTAGCACAAATAAGTGTTTGCTTAAATAATAATTGTTGCTCTGCTAGTCTTGATACAACTTGTTTTACACATGTACATCTAGCACACACGTCTGAAAGCAGTGGATCCCATTTTTGCAGTTATAAGGGGAAAAAATTAATGGTATTGATTTCTCTCCTCATTTTCCAGAAGCAGCAGTTACCACTAGGACTGAAATTAGGATTTCTGGCTAATTCTAACCATCTCAAAAGGTTTTAAGTACATTGATCATATTTTCTATGGGGAAATTTCCGGGTTCTGTAATTTTAACATCTTACCACATTCAGTCTGCTAACAAATTTTATATCATTCCTCCTTTGTTCAGACTAACACACACACAAAAAAACCCTGTTAAGCATAAAGGAAATATTCCAAGATCCAAAGAGGAAATTGATATAAATGTAACTGACATGATATATGTGCACTTTAAGATTTATTCTAAACAAACTGGAGGAGATGTTTTCACCCTTGTTTGTGACACATACATACACAAAAAATGTTAGCATTTGGAGTCTTGCTTCCCAGATGGCCTATTGCTTGCATAAAGAGATGAAAGAAGGTTTTTCAGTCTCTTGAAAACTGTATTTCTCATGGAGTCCTAATCTTCTCCCTGCTGAAATCCAGACTTCAGAAGAGGGCACTGGTATGATGAAAGAGATACGTTAGATGGATAGGCACAAAACACCGTTACATGAGACCATTTAGAAAATAATTAAGAACAAAAGTAGGGAGGTAGAGTATCGGGCCCGTACATGTTCAGAGAAAGCAAGGGTCAGGGTGACCTGGAAAAGGGAAAGGACCTTGACCTCTCCTTTCAAGGATGGGTAGACCCTAGGAGGGAGGGGATCTAGTCTGAATGGTATGGCTGCAAAGTATAAAATATGTGGTGAGGTGAACTTAAAAATCAGGTTATATAAGATTTCCATGGACAAGAATGGATCAGAAAGTCAGTGTGTATTTTTAAATACATGTGTTTTTTAAATAAATTTTTAATCACATAATTGAAATAAGAATAATGTCCTTGTAAAATTTTTAAACATTAGAATAGGTTCTGGTTCCCTTTTCTCACCACTCCCAATTCTCTTTCCCTCCCTGGAGTTAATCACTTTTACCAGTTTGCCCTATTTCCTTCTAGATCACTAAGTTATGAACCTGCCTAAAATGTATATGGATATATATATAATAGTTTTGTGTTTTTCTTTATGCAAATATGGTGTTATACTGTTGATATTGTTTTGCAACTGACTATTTTTAATTTTATTCAACAAATTGTCTTGGCTTCCTTAATGTCTAAAAGTTCTATCTTAGCCTTTGCAAAGTTGCAGTCCTTTAATTAGCAACGTACTCCTTGTTAGGTTATGCACCACAGTTTATTTTGCCAAATCGCCATTGACAGACTTTTAGGTTGACTCCAGTGTTGTGCTGTTTCAGATAGTACTGCATCAAACATCCTTAATGCCTGCTTACAAATGTTAGTCAAGGGCGTTTTTTAAGCTGTTAAACTAATAATTAGACCAGTGTGGAGGTGGTAGGACAGACATACCACTCTGACAAAACAGATGGCCTAGGGACAGTGATAACTGTAAAAATGAAATAATCCTAAATAATTGAGGGTACAGTACCTTAAGGGACCCATATACCTGGGAATTTAGAATGTTATAAAGTAGCATTTCAAATCAGTGGGGAAAGGGTATATCCTTCATTATTATTAATAAATATTCATCAATGACTATTTGGAAAAGTTAGTTATGGTGGAAAAATTAAAAACACCAAGAAATGATGCATTAAATCATTTTTATCATAATGGTCTGGGGGCATGACATAAAGACCAAAAGTCACAAAGGTGAAGATGGACATATTTGTGATACTGAGATCTACACAAATACATGTTATCTTATAGTGACGTACCATTAGATACACTTTAGTAAAGGTGACATTTTGGAAAAAATTTCACTAGAAATCGATAAAAAGCAGCAAACCTAGTAGAAAAGCAAACGAAAATATCCTTGTAAGAAACAGATACCTGACCAATGAATGTACAAAAATATGCTTGATATCACACAAATTCAAATGGAACTACATGTTAAATTGGCACAAAAAATCTACTTTTTCAAAAAAGTGTTTATCTAGTGTTGCTGAAGGTATAGAAGAATGAACTTGGGCATTTTTGCTGAGTACAAATTAAAACCGGTTCTTGATGAGGTTAATTTGGCTCTTAGCAGGGTTGTAAATAGACAGATCCTTCCACTGAGTAGTTTCCCTTGGAATGTGCCCTTCAGAAATTCTTATGTTCTAATATATCTGTGAATCAATGTCTATATAACCGTGTTTTTGTGATGATAAAATACTAGAACAAACCTAAATATTCATTAATATGAAGCTGGGTAAATTCTGGTACATAACAGATTACAGAATGTGGTGTGGATATTAAAGAGGTAGGTATGTACTGACATGGAAGGATACCCATGATAAGGGGGGTGGGGGGAGCAAGGGGCAGAGCAGTATGCAGCTCAGCTTTTTCAGAACTGAGTAAATGCATGCTATGTATAGTGTACACATTGAGTTTTTAAATTATGCTTTATTTGAATGTATACATAAAAATATTCGAAGGCATACATAGTGCTTCAGCGGTTATTCTTGGGGGTGGGGGGATAAGGTGGCACCTTCACATTTTTATATAGTATAGTATATATAGGTTTACAGAGGAACTGTAAGTGGTACTAAAAAATTTAGCTTCTTGGAAAATATATATATAGATTTTCAGTTCATAATTTACAAGTAAATTCTAGGTGGGTTAAGGCATTAAATGTATAGAAAGATGTCATCGTTTGTTCTTAGTTTTTAAACTTAAAAATGGAAGGGAAAATTATACATTTGATCACAATACTTGAAAAATATAGGAGAAATATTTGTGGGAAATGACAGTATAAAGAGCTCATTGGATATTAAAAGCACTAAAGACCAATTCAAAATGAGTGGGCAGTGGGCACATTTTTTCAGTGTTAAACCGCCACTAACAAATACAAACTGGAAACTAAAACAACCTATCTCCTTAACAAATTCACAAATATTTTTAAATAAAGATTCCCAGTGCTGACCAGAGTATGAGTGATCAGCATTTTTCCACACTACTTCTGGGATTGGTAAAACTTGGGGAGTGGGGGCAACTTGGCTATAGAAGTGTTAAAAGCCTCTTTGCCACTAAATCTACTTCTTGGAGTTACCAAAGTAGGAGGAAATGAGGGCAAAAAAAATTTAGACAGAATGTTTAATAATTGGTTATTAGAGAAGACACGCAGTGAGGGAATGTACCAGATATTTCTAGAGGGAGTGGTTAAGTCCAAGGTAGGCCACTTGATGGAACATACTTAGAGCTCTCAAATAACATAGTCATAAGTTGTAGTTTTCAAGATTTGATAGCCAGTGTGAGCTTCTCTCTGTTTAAATGTATATTTAGAGATTTTAAATAAACTTGGCAACATTAAAGGTAGAAAACTAAGACATATAAGTGTGTTTCCTTAATTTCTGCCTTGCCTTAAAGCTGACTTGTAGAAAATCAGTAGGAAAATAGAAGCTGCTGTCCCTAATGGTGCTTTCATTTTTCCCATGTGCTGAAAACACCCCCTCCCCACCACCACCACTTGTTAAGCAGCTCTGGGGTACTAGTATCAGAAACATGGCCTAGAATAGTTAGGAAAGGCTTAAAGATCAAAGAGGGTTTAGGGACCTTTGACTGTGAGATTGGAGAAAGGCCATCTGAAGCAGTGGGTATATGTTAGTAGAAAGTAGCAGATTAAAACAGCTCAGCAATATGTAAGAGCTTTGTTTTTGGCAAAGAATGTGCAAAGCACATTAGTCGCTACATCCTTACAGCGCTGTTAAGCTGCTGGGAAAGGGGCTATGTGGTAGAGACCATACCATAAATGAGGAACTCAAGGTTGAGTGGATGATGTCTGGTTCCTGACTCCCAAGTAGTGGTTACTTGATTGTTGTGTAGGGCACCCAGATGAAAATAAAAGGTTTCGTCCTGGCTGTACCCACACTGGGTACATAAGCCTTGACTAATGATGCAGGTATTCTATAGCAATGTCAGATAGTCCATTGTAAGGCAGAGTTACAGGGAGGCAGAGAGGTCTTCCATCTGCTGGTTCATTCCCACAAATGGCTGCAATGGCCAGAGCTGCAACGATCTGGAGCCAGGAGCTTCTTCTGGGTCTCCCACGCAGGTGCAAGGGCCCAAGGACTTGGGCCATCTTCCACTGTTTTCCCAGGCCATAGCAGAGAGCTGGATTGGAAGTGGAGCAGCCAGGACTGGAACCAGTGCCCATATGGGATGCTGGCACTGCAGGTGGCGGCTTTACCCGCTACACCACAGCACTGGCTTCCCCAAATGTGTCTTTCAGAATAGCTCTTGCCCAGGCTGGCTCTATATGTTTTGTGGTCTGGTTGGCACTAAGCCATCTTGCATTCTTTAGGTTTTTTTACTAGCATTGCCTTGTTTTTTGGCATTTGTGCACTATATGAGGAAGCCTTAAGGTAGGCTTTCTGGATTTTACTTAATTCCTTCTGTCCCAGACACAATGAATTCCTTTTTTTTTTTTTTAAAGAGATTTTGTAAGCCACTGTTTTCACAGGATGTATCTGTAACCCTCTGAGCCAGAAGCCTTCTGGTTCCCTTAGGATCAGTCATCTTAGTCATAGCTTTTGATGTTCCGAAGACTGGCTTTGCTCTTCAATTCTTGCTCAGAGCTTCGGACCTTTAAGTTAGAGGATATTGTCTGCTTGGTAACCTCTGGATTCTGCCTTGGGGCTTCCTTGGCATCTGTCCACATATACTTAAGGGTTAGGAATTGACTGGTTGAACATCGCTGTATATGAAAGTTATAGTTATCATGGAAACCTGCTGTGAAACTGATCCACCCTTGCCCCTTTCTCAGAGCTTAACACTGACTTCACCAGGCTGGTGTTTGTATTTCCCTATGCATTGATAGGTACCTGTTCGAAATACACAGAAACAAGATCACACTCAGGAGAACTGAGATTGATGCTTATTTCTCTGCCTGGGCTGTCTGTTCCTTTGGGATTGTGTTGTACCTAGTATTTTGCAACCTGCTTATTTATCTAACCATATTGAAAACTTCCCGTGTCAGTACCTGGGATTCTGTTTAGTTCATTTGAATGTTCTTCTATTCTGTGCTTCTATAATTTATGTTTGAGATGTATACATTTCCCTGGTGAAGAATATGCAGTTTCCAGTTCCTCAGTATTACAAACACTACAGAAACTACAGTGAACATCTCTGCATTCACATGTACAGATGTTTGCAAGGTACTGAGCCACATCACATTTCAGAAATTGTTTAAGGAGCTTATGAAGGCTGGGAATAACTTGCCACATTATATAGACAAGAAAAAGAGAGGCCCAGGGACGCACAGCTCATAAATGCTAGGTCCTGTTCAGAGTAAAGATCTTTATAATGTGAGACCCCAAGTATTTTCTCACAGCAATTGTGAAATACATGTTTATAAATTATTTTTTCCTAGATGACTACCGAAGTTTGCTTTGATTGTAGATACCTGCTTTATTTTCTAGGCTGTGTCTCCTACTCCATTCTTACAGACCAACTCAGAAGATCTGTAAAATCTGGGAACTCACTAGGCATTCTTGGAAAGGAAAGAAGGAAGATTGTGTAAGTGAAAAGAATTGTTTGACCTCTCATACCATAGGATTATTTTTGCATCCTTTCTAGCCCTCCCTTACTGTCGATTATTCCTGTCACTTCTTGAAATTCTCAACTTGGGCTTCCAAATTAAGTCTCCTAATTTTCCTATGACTGCTCTGGCCATTTGTTTCATTTGGCCTTTCTCTCTGCTCACCCCTTATATATCGCTTCCTCAGGTTTCCCAGATTTTATTCTGGTCTCCCTCATAGTGTCCATTGCCAGCTATATGATGATTACTCTCAGATTTCACTTCTAGTTCTGACTTCTCTCACCTAAGCTTTAAAATGCTATGTTGAAATGCACACCGCACATGCAAGAAGGCTGATACTGAACAACAATTTCTTCTCCTGCAGATGCAGTATTATTTTGTGATAATACTAATGACCTAATCACTTCTCAAAACCTGGGAGTCCTCACTGACTCCTCCCTCACCAACTTTCTACGCTCCCCCTCCCAACTAGTGATAACTGGAGATTTTGTTACATGCCATGTCTTGTCTGCTACCAAAGTATTCTGTGCCTATAAACCATCATGTACTAACCTTGTTTTATAATTGTCACTTTAGATGTTTGAATCCCTAACACCTACCATAGTGCCTATTTGGAAGCAAAAATACAGCAATAGAAGATGACAAACCAAATAGATGGATGATTTACCTCCATTCTTTCATTTTTATTGCTGATTCCAAAGTAACACTTAAGTCTACTTTTGTTAACTCATTAGCTCCCCACATTTGACATTTCAGAGCCCCTTTGACTCCTGGTCTCCTTCAGCGTGTTGCTCAGTTTCTCTTTACTGTCATTGCCCTATTTCCGACCTACCTGGACCAAGACAAGAACCTTTCCAGTTGCTTGTTTTACTGTTGTTCATTTTGCCTCTCTTTGGCTAAATTGATGTTCCTGATTTCTTTTACATTGTCATTCCTTCTGTTCTTCTGTTCCAAAGTCTTGCATTTCAACTCCACTGCCTTTTATCATTTCTTTGTCATTTTAGTTCCTTCTTTAAAATTGCACACCTATACTTTTAGTGACATAAAAAAAACTAGAGCAGTCTGAGGAATGCCTGGGTGGGATGACAGTAGTGGGTAGTAGGAGTTAGCATATATTGTGGCCTAATGGGCCTTTATGAACCATAGTTAAAGATCACTGTAGAAAACAAACATGTAAAATACTTTATGTATTACAGTGGTTGGAATAAAAACAGGGTTGAATGAGTTCCAGAAAGCAGGGTTCTCAAACTCGTGGACAACAATCTGCGGAAGAAGACAACTTCAAAAAGCCAACTAGAGGCAACATGCAGAGAAGTAAGATGAGAGGCGCCTCCTCAGGAAAGAAGACAGCTGGCCAACAGCCGAAGAATGTTGAACAAGCTCTCCCAGGAAGATGGGGGGGTCGCTCGGCTGAGAACCCCCCTTCAGGATCTGTGAGGAAGACAAGGAAGAACAAGCAGAAGACTCCTGGGAATGGAGATGGCGGCAGTACCAGCGAAGCACCCCAGCCCCCTCGGAAGAAGAGGGCCCGGGCCGATCCCACTGTCGAAAGTGAGGATGCATTCAAGAATAGGATGGAAGTGAAGGTCAAGATCCCTGAAGAATTAAAACCATGGCTTGTTGAGGACTGGGACTTAGTAACCAGGCAGAAACAGCTCTTTCAACTCCCTGCCAAGAAGAATGTAGATGCTATTCTGGAAGAGTATGCCAATTGCAAGAAGTCACAGGGAAACATCGACAACAAAGAATATGCCGTCAATGAAGTTGTGGGAGGTATAAAAGAGTATTTCAATGTGATGTTGGGCACTCAGCTGCTCTATAAGTTTGAGAGGCCCCAGTATGCTGAAATCCTGTTGGCTCACCCTGATGCGCCGATGTCCCAGGTTTATGGAGCACCACACCTACTGAGATTATTTGTGAGAATTGGAGCAATGTTGGCTTATACGCCCCTTGATGAAAAGAGCCTTGCTCTATTGTTGGGCTATTTGCATGATTTCCTAAAATATCTGGCAAAGAATTCTGCTTCTCTGTTTACTGCCAGTGATTATAAAGTGGCTTCTGCTGAGTACCACCGCAAAGCCCTGTGAGGGTCTACTGACCACTCACCATTAATGTCTGGTATCTGTAAAACACTTTTTTTTTGTTCTTAGTCTTTTTCTTGTATAATTGATGTTCTTTAAAATTGTTAATGTATAACAGGGCTTATGTTTCAATTTGTTTTCTGTTCTATATTAAACAGAAAATAAAAGGAGTGCAAACTCCTTTTCTCATTTCAGAGTTGCTACCAGTGTATGCAGTAATTAGAAAAAGAAGAAAAATTCAGTAGAACATTTTATTGCATAGTTGACAACATTGCTTGAACGCTGGTGGTTCCATCCCTTTGACACTACACAATTTTCTAATCTGTGTTAATGCTATGTGATAAAAAAAAAATGCCCTGATTCCTAGTGCCAAAGGTTCAACTTAATGTATATACCCGAAAACCCATGCATTTGTGCTCTTTTTTTTTTTTATGGTGCTTGAAGTAAAAACCGCCCATCCTCTGCAAATCCATCTATGTTGTTCCTTAGGCATCCTATCTTTGCTCAAATTGTTGAAGGATGGTGATTTGTTTCATGGTTTTTGTATTTGAGTCTAATGCACGTTCTAACATGATAGAGGCAATGCATTATTGTGTAGCCACGGTTTTCTGGAGAAGTTGATATTTTAGGAATTGTATTTCAGATCTCAAATAAAAATTGTTTCTAAGTTTCAAAGCAAGAAATATGTGCTGTGCCTTTAATGTCACCAAAGCTGACAGACTCACCTTGCTCAGGAAAGATCTTGGTGGTATCACAGATCTGTGACTCCTAGATCGTTGACCAAGACTTCCCTGATTCCCCAACAGATGTCAAGTTCCTTCTCTTTAATCCTAGCATAGGGAATCCATGGAGATGTTCCATGGTATTGGATAGCTGTACTTGTAGGTTCATCTAAACATGAGAATTTCCTAGTCAAACCACATATTTTTCATGACTTTTTCAGATCAACTAGAAAAGTAACCATAACTATTGTAAAAATTTTAGAAAATACATTAAGAACAAATATGGAAATAAGAATCACATAAAATCCTATCAATTCAAGTCCCAGCCCCCTCCAAAAAAAAAAAAGACTCAGAATGGGTGGTTTGAAGAGTTTATTAATAAAGGATTTTTCCCCAAATTACCAATATAAGGACACAAATCATTAGGTACAGGCCCACCCCAGTGAGCTCGTTTTTAACTTAGCTGTTATCTCTGTAAAGACCCTATTTCCAGATACAGCCACATTCTGAGGTACTGGGGGTTAGGCATTCTACTCAGGGCCTTGTGAGAGGAACAGAATCAGGCTTTAACGGTATCATTACCCTTAGGCATGGCAGAGGAAGCAAAAGGGTGGAAGAGGGGGGGTGTGGGGGAAGAGGAGGGGTGGGGGAGGGGGAGAGCTGGGGAGGGGAGGGGAAAGGCGCTGTCCTGCAAAGGTCTATGGCTGTGTGGAAAGGGTTACTTCACAGCAGCTGTGATCTTCAAGATGGAGTCGCCTCACAAAGGCCTGAAAAAGAAGCCAGGATGAGGGGGAGGAAGTACCTGAGTCTTCTATCTCCTGCTGGGCATTTCCCTTTGACCAAACTGGAAGGCAGAGAACAAGGAAGACCTTCAAGGTAGTCTATTCAGGTAAATGGGGGGGGGGGGGGGCAGAGCAGGGAGTAAAGTGCCTGGGAGGTATCTAGCATACACATAAGTGAAATAACCAGTTAATATTTGGCCATGTATTTTAGGGTTAAGTATATGTTTACACATTTGTAGTGAAGATCACAGTTTATTTTATTTATTTGAAAGAGAGAGGTAGAGACAGGTCTTCCATCCGCTGGTTCACTCCCCAGATGGCCACAATGGCTGGAGCTGGCCCGATCCCAAAGCCAGGAGCTTCCTCCAGGTCTCGCATGTGAGTGCAGGGGCCCAACAACTTGGGCCATCCTCTACTGCTTTCCCAGGCCATAGCAGAGAGCTGGACTGGAAGAGGAGGTGCCCATATGGGATGCCGGCGCTTCAGGCCAGGGCTTTAACCCGCTACACCACAGTGGCAGCCCCTATCACACTTTATTTTTTACAAATTGAGATCAGATTACATATACAGTTCTCTAGTTCTCTCTCCAGACTGTCAAAGGAAGTTCAAAACTAATAAATAAAAACAAGTTTACATTTCAGTGACAGTGACAATAGGAAAATTTTGAAAAAGAGAATTAAGGAGTTGCCACATAATAAAATTTGTTATTTAGATGGTACCCTTTCAGGGCCAGCATTGTGGCACAGTGAGGTTAGTTACCACTTACAACCCTGGTATTCCATACTAGAGTCCAGTCAAGTCCCAGCTGCACGGCTTCCAATCCAGCTTCTTTCTGGTCCATCTGGGTAGGCAGTGGATGATGCCCATGTGGGAGACCCAGATGGAGTTCCTGGCTCCTGGCTTTGCCCTGGTCCAGCCCTGGCTCTTGTTGGCATTTGAGGAGTGAACCAGCAAATGAAAAAGATCTCTTTCCCTCTCTGTGTCACTCTGCCTTTCAAATAAACAATAAATCTTAAAAAATAATACTCTTGGCTGGTGCCGCAGCTCGCTAGGCTAATCCTCTGCCTGCAGTGCCAGTATCCTGGGTTCCAGTCCCGGTTGCCCCTCTTCCAGGCCAGCTCTCTGCTATGGCCCGGGAGCGCAGTGGAGGATGGCCCAAGTGCTTGGGCCCTGCAGGAGGAAGCACCTGGCTCCTGGCTTCGGATCGGCACAGTGCACCGGCCGTAGCGCCCATTTCGGGGGTGAACCAATGGAGGGAAGACCTTTCTCTCTGTCTCTCACTGTCTAACTCTGCCTGTCAACAAATAATAATACCCATGGGGCTGGCACCGTGGCGCAACAGGTTAAGCCTCCATCTATAGTGCTGGCATCCCATATGGGTGCTGGTTCGAGTCCTAGCTGTTCTGCTTCCCCTCCAGCTCTCTGCTAACGTGTCTGGCAAAGCAGCAGAAGATGGCTGGAACTCAATCCGTGTCTCCCTATGTGGATAGCAGGAACTCAATTACTTAAACCTTCACCTGTTGCCCCCCAGAGTGTGCATTAGCAGGAAGCTGAAATTGGGAGTGGTGCCAGAACTTGAATCTAAGCACTCTGATATGGGTTGTGAGCATCCTAAGTACCATCTTACCACTACAGCAAATGTCCACCTCATTTGTTTGCAAGTCATATAAAACTAAAGAAATGGGCCACAGATACAAATGGGCTAATTTTTTAAAGTACACATTAGGGCCCTCGTGGCATAGCGGGTAAAGCCACCACATGCAACAACAGCATCCCATATGGGCTCCGATTCAAGTACCTCAAGTACTGGCTGCTCCACTTCCAATCCAGCTCCCTGCTAATGGCCTAGGAAAACCAGTGGAAGACCAGGATGAAGCTCCTGGCTCCTGGCTTTGGCCTGGCCCAGTGCTGGTCCATTGCAGCCATCTGGGAGAGTGAACCAGCAGATTGAAGATCTCTCTCTCTCTCTGTCTCTCCATCTCTGTAATTCTGACTTTGAAAATAAACATCTTTTTAAGTGTACATTGCAAATAAACAAAGTTGGCTCATTTACCCTAGGCATAAATACTGAAGAACTAAAATACTGAAGTATTTCCTGCCACTAATATCATTCCCCTTGGAATGGGTGCTAGTAAGTTATTTACCCGAACCTGCTTCCAGATGTCTAGTCAGTATATTTGTCAGAGATTTTAGTAGAAACTCGCCTAGATTACAGGCTGGCTGCATTGTGACTATCACACCATCACACAATGACCAGACTCATTCTGTGTGAATTTTTACTCTTCAAATCCTGGTTAAGGAATACACAAGTCATGTGACAGGAGAAGAAGGGGTTTTGTTGATAATTCCATGAATCCCTATTAATTTTTAAAATTTTTATTTACTTAATTTTATTTGAAAGGCAGAGACAGAGAGCTCTTCCATCCACAGGTTCACTCCCCAAATGCCCACAACAGTCAGGGCTTGGCCAGGCCAAAGCAAGGAGCTAGAACTTCATCCAGGTCTCCCATGTGGGTGGCAAGAACCTAAGAACTTGAGCTACCTCCCAGAGTGTGCATTAGCAGGAAGCTGGATCAGAAGTGTAGTAGTCTGGGGGCCGACACTGTGTGGCATAGCGGGTAAAGCCACCGCCTGCAAGTGCCTGCATCCCATATAGGCGGCAGTTTGAGTTCTGGCTACTACACTTCCGATCCAGCTCTCTGCTATGGCCTGGGAAAGCAGTGGAAGATGGCCCAAGTCCTTGGGCCCCTGCACCAGCGGGAGACCTGGAGGAAGCTCCTGGCTCCTGGCTTCGGATAGGCGCAGCTCCAGCCATTGTGGCCATCTGGGGAGTGAACCAGAGGATGGAAGACCTCCCTGTCTGTCTCTACCTCTCTCTGTAACTCTGTCTTTCAAATAAATAAAATAAATCTTTAAAAAAATACCATTAAAAACTGAAAAGCTCTCTTTTCTTCTCCCTTCTTCATTTTTTAATTTCTAAATTATAAAGGTAACACTTAGCTGAACATTTTCTGTAAACAAATGACACAATATATTTAAAAGTACATCATTAACTGTGAACTATAATATTAATAGTTAATAGTTTGTCCACTTATAGAAATGTCAATTATCAGAAGACATATATACATATATAGATAGATAGATAGATAGATTCCAAAATATAAAAGTCTATATAAGGAGTAGGATAGAAGTTGGAGGTATTCTAGACTTTGTGTTTTTTTTTTTTTTTTTTGATAGGCAGAGTGGACAGTGAGAGAGAGAGAGACAGAGAGAAAGGTCTTCCTTTGCCGTTGGTTCACCCTCCAATGGCCGCCACGCACTGTGCTGATCTGATGGCAGGAGCCAGGTGCTTCTCCTGGTCTCCCATGGGGTGCAGTGGAGGCCATCCTCCACTGCACTCCCAGGCCACAGCAGAGAGCTGGCCTGGAAGAGGGGCAACCGGGACAGAATCCGGCGCCGTGACCGGGACTAGAACCCGGTGTGCCAGCGCCGCAAGGCGGAGGATTAGCCTAGTGAGCCGCGGCGCCGGCTTAGACTTTGTTTTTAAAATATAGTTCTATTTTAAAAGTTTATAAAAAAAAACTCTTAAGCGCTAAAGATTAAAAAACAATGCGTAAAATTAAAAATATCAAAGAAAATTCCAATGGTCCAACAGAAGGCTAAAAAAAGAGGGAAAGGGAGAATGTAAAGAAAATACATGATTAATAAACATTCAAAGTAAAAAAATGAAGTATGTCTACAGCATGTCAATGATATTAAATGCACATGGATTAAGCTCTCATATTAAAAAGAAAACCTCAGTTTGGATATTATACAAGGCACAGAATCCAATTTCTTGCTTTTCTCAGAGATGAGCTTAACATTATCTAGAAGAGTTCCAAATAAAAGGATAGAATGAAACATACTAAGGGAATGCTAAGCAAAAAAAAAAAAAAAAAAAAGCTGTCATAGCAAAATTAATCAAAAGGAGTATCGCACATCACAAACACCACACCAAACAAATGTAGTCAATATTACTGAAAAAGAACTACTGGTGAGATACAACCAAAATGCAACTTCAGGGTTGCATTGTGGCGCAGCGGGTTAAGCCGCCTCTTACAACATCAGAGCCCGTATCAGAGTGCTGGTTCACATCCTGGCTGCTCCACCCCCCATCCAGCTCCCTGCTAATGTGCCTGG